TGAAAAAAAACAAAAGGCAAAACCAATTCTATCAATGAAAGATGTTGTAATCAGCCACTGTCTCTATGCATCTCTAAAACCTCACCATCTCACTAGGTTCAGTAGATTGGCTGCCGTGCTACAGATCAGCATTTCAACTCTCAGTGCTTTGCGTACTTTCCACTACATCACCGAGCTACTAGCCGTTGCCTGAAACTGTTAGCATGCAGAGTCTGAACCTGCTCATCTACACTGCTGTTTTTTTCCTCCTTTTTTTTTTTTTTTTTGCTTTGTGTCTTCCAAGGCCTCCAAGGAGGCAGGACAAGCCCTGGTGGGGAAGGCCGCCAGCCCTCCCTTTGAGAGCCAACATCATCATCTGCTGCACTGCCTGGAGAAAACCACGGTATAAATCCTTTTTTTTTTTCCCCCTCCTCCCAGAACTGAAAAGCTGTGTCCAGTAGAAAACAATCACATTTTTACTATCTCAGTAACAGACTTTACGCAGTTTAAAATAGCTCTCTGTAAAAGAGAAAGTTCCTTTTATGTAAAATTGCATCACTCACGCAGCCCGCGCTGTATCATCAGTAGTGCCAGCCTGTTACAGTGAGTTGCAAATGGAAACAAAGTGAGTTTTTTCATCCATGCTCAAAATGTAGAATCTATTCCATATGCAACACGAGTTAAAAATAGATGTAAATGGGGATGGGAAATGTTGAGTCCCTTCGCCAGCAACATGCTAAAGATAACATGACTCTGTCAGCCAGGAACATTATTTCCTCCAAACAAACCAGCATACTTCATTTTATGCTATCTATAATTTAGAGATATAAGAGCCTCTTTAATGCTTGGCTGTGACATGAGTTTTACACTTGCGGTTCTAAACCCTGTACAGGGACATGGACAGGCAGTAAATCAGTGTTTCTCCTCATGGATGATCCTCCCCCCAGTAAAAGGCTTGCCTCACGTCTGGGAAAAGCTCCATAAAGGCTTCATGCCATTCAGATGGCGATGCAAATGTTTACATCAGGCCTCTCATGGCGTGCATTATAGATAGCAGACAGGGAGCAGAACAAGAGTTACAGAGAGAAGATATAAGAACCGGAGACATGAGCCAAGACATGGCATCAGATCTCCCACAGTGTCACTCTGCCACCTGCTGGCAGGGCCCGAAACACACTTGGAGCCTGACCTTCAAGTCATGCTCATTTGTCACAGGGATAACAGTTGTGAATGTTTTCACAGATGGCACTTAATATGGACATCTGGGCCAATATATTTCTATTCCCTTGATGATTCATTTTCCAATTATTAAACAATTTTGCTGTGGATTTGGTTCAGTCTGTTTAGTCTTTACTGTGAAACATCTTTACTCATTATTTAGCAGAGCCAATCATTGATGTAATAGAGTGATTCATAAGCCACGCTGAATCCAAATCTCTGCCGCTTTCCCTCTGCAGAATCATGAGTTTGTGGACGAGCAGACGTTCCAGGCCAACTGCATGGAGATCTCTGTGATGAACAAGTCGGGCTCCCGCGCCTCTTCGCTGTCTTCGTCCCCGCATGGCCTCAGCTCGTGCTGCTCCCGACGCCACAGGAAGAAGAGCAGTTTCAGCCTGCCCAGCACAAACAACCAGGAGCTCAGCACCATACAGATAAGAGAGAGGCCAGTGGCCAACAGGTAGTCCGTCTAGCTTTCTGTTTGGTGTCTTTTAAAGCATATTAAATATACATACAGACATGCAAACAGCTGAAAAAAAGAGATAAACTTTATGGATTTCGCACTGGGAATTGATGCATTCAAACAGTATCTGTCTGCAGGTAGTTCTGTTGCGATTTGCATATATATTTCTTCTTGTACTTTCAAATAGATATATATTTCAAAGAATCAGGAGCTACATATTCTGTCTTTGTTTCTCAATAAATGCTGAAGAATATGGACACAAAGAACAATGAGCAAACACAAGCATATAGCTGTTACAGACACACAAGTACAGCAGGTGAAGGTGAAAACAGATCCCCAAAGTGTTGGCAACAAATGTTGTTGTTGATGATGCGGTTAGTTACTTCATCCCTCTTCCTCCTGGCACAGCGCTCCCGTTAGTCTGAATAATCCTCACTGTCTTCTTTGGAACCACTTTCTTGCCTAATTGCTCTCATGAAACTAGTTGACAGTGCATCATCCAGAGAAGCAGGGACATTAAATATTGTATTTTTAATTTCCCGCTATTATAATGGGTGGCAGTGAAATCCTCAGAGCATTGTATCACAAAAAAAAAAAAAAGCTAGTAAAACCAAAATGATCTGCATTTCCAGATGCTGCAAGGGTTAAGGGAATAAAAGAATCATTTCATGAATTGGCTGAACCAGTCCAATAATCCTGGTGTGAAAATATTCATGCATGGGTGAGAATAGTCCAATCTTTTTTATGAGAGCGCCATTACATGTGATAACATTCATTTTAGGTGTGAAACCTAATTTAACTTAACAACGGGACAGCATTGTGCGCACGCAGTCAATTAGCAATTGAACACATTTAGTATGTAGGCTTTTATAGAATATATTTCACAGAATGAACCACGTTTAGAAAGTGTCTAATCTTAAATACAGTATACTCAATGTAGAATCTTGGTTTCATACACACTGTCGTCCCATTCAGTTTATTCTCTGTACACTCTGACACAAGCTGCAGAAGTCAAAATTGTAAATCGAAATGAAGCTTAATGAGCAACATGAGCAGAAGCTCCTTTAGAAATTCACACTGCACAAGGTTTTTTTTTTTTGTTATTGGCTTTTATGCAGAATAGAAACGCACATGAAAGGACCGTGTAATAGCGGCTTTGTGTAAAACATTCGCAAGGTCAGACCTCTCACCCTCTTTCATCCTGTGTTTTTCCTCTCGCAGCCGCTCCAGCCTGAACGCCAAACTCGACGAGACTGTGCCCTTGAAATGTGATGAACCTTACATCACTCCCTCCATGGTCAGCCTGTCTGCCCCGGTGGTGACCTCATCAGACGGGGACAGCTCCACCACCACAGCATACTCTCAGAGCAACATTGTCCGAGTATCAGCCTTGTAGATGTCATGCCTATCTGATCAGCTAACTGGTCTCACTAAGCACCAGATGCTGAGGAGAGGGACCACCGAGCATCAACCTGCCATAATCTAGAGGAATTTTAAGATTAGCAGAGGTCGGGGGTTTTTGAAGTAGTGATCTCATCTGATGTCAAACTCTGCATGGTATTAAAAGTGATGTGGACAGCTGCCTTGGAAGTGAAAGAAAGCGAACCAGCAGATCTTGCTTCATTAAGCACAGCAGAGCAAGGAAGTGTTGGGAATGCCTGGTCATCGTTGTTGCCTAAAATTACTGAGAAAAAAAAAAAAGAACTTTATTTTTGAATATGTAATGTAGTTGTATTTGTTGTCTCTGATTCAAAGGAGGAAAGGCAGATGTTTAAAGGTCAGTCTCGATGGCCTCTGATGACAAAGCACACATATTCATTACCCGAAGGTCATCTTTGTGAATATTAAATCAGTCCCCTTACACGCTAGAGACATTCTCTTCACTCACCACCATAGATTGTTTTGAAACCCCCCTCGATGAAATGGTTTCTAATATTCCCCTCACTGTTGTAAATTCAGAAAACATACATCCACGGGAATGGATAACTGTTGTGAATATTCATTAACTGACTCATGAACTGGTTGATGTCATCGCTTGATGAGTAAAATATACTACGCATCCTGACATGTTTGTGAAATGTGCAAGTGAAAGTCAAATGACAAAATCTGTGTTAGCTTACATATTTGACATTCTGATATGGATCTGTGTGAAAGCCACTGTCATTAGTTAACAATTGATATTGAGAACTATACAGGGTATATATTAGTTAGGTCACAAGGTAGAAACATAAGTGAATGTTCTCGGCAACACTTAACTAATACTAACCCTAAACGTGGACACGTAGTATTGACCTGGAAACCCCACATGAAAGAGTGTTGACCATCAGTCCCATTGACTTCCCCATAAATTATGATATTCTTATACTTGGTAGATTTCACTGTGTTAAAGGACCATTTTGTACATTTTTCATATTGTAAATATCTCAGTTAGGACGACCGCATTTGAAGTTGGCTCCTCTCATTTCAAGATTAAGTTGACAGTTGTCGGCATACTATTTTTGTCTGTTAACTGGTTGAATTAAGGATTTGCATGCTGTCATTGCCGAATTCTGTTTTATTAAAGTATGTCTCTGCTTCTTGTTGGAAATTTGTCAGTAAAAATGAGTTTGATGGATGGAAAGACGATGACGCTGGTATGTTATGATGTAAATTCTGCAACACTTTGCTTTTAATGAAATACAAACCTTGTCATGGACTACGTATATGCGGGGGTGAGGAAAAAGGGGGCAAATTATCACACATTGTGCATTTAGTGCAGTGGATAGAATAAATACTGTAGCTCTACTGAAACACCCATTAAATGACCCATGTCTTCTTTTTTTTCCCCAAACTAGAACGCAATTAGGCAGATTTCATAATGTTTTCTCTGATTATTCAAAGAGCATCGCCTTTAACAGGATGGGATAATAATTAGGTGCTGCTGAAGGACATGATAGGACCTGAATGGCCCAGCGGTGGGTCTTGGGGGAGGGTCTCTGGAGACAGACAAGCAGGCCTCAGCGGCTGTTTGACAGAGAGCTCAGCAGCGTTCCCCCCGCTGAGCTGATTGCGTTGGTCCGCGCAGCCTGTCACAGCATGCATCCCCTCTGCTTTGCCGTGTTTAGTAACTGCTGAGAAGTCAGCCTGCATAAAATCTAAGATAACACAGCAGCATATAAAATAATAGGCTTCTTTATACCCAAATAAAAATTCACGCCTCGACAAATAGGGTTTAATTCAGTTAATATTTGGACAATGACTAGACAAATGGTATTCATTCCGATGTTCAGTTCCACACTGAATATGAATGTGGTCATTTGGTCCGGTGTCACTTAAGAGTAGATAGAGGTGGAAATAATTGTCACTTCTTATTGAACATGGCTTCAAATCTGCTTTTCAGCCGATTGAACTCTGTCCGAAACTGAGGGTTCACTGCTGCATATATTATTGGGTCACTCAGTGATGTGATGCAGGCAACAGACACTGACAGGATCTCCAAGTCCTGAATGATCTTGGCCTGAAAAGAAATTATGAAGAATTCAAAACGTGTTGAGAATCTTTAGACAGCCTTGGCTGCTTGATAGTAGAAACCTGAAAGTAATCAATGAATCAAATATTTGCTCTCCTATAAATACAAGTTAAAAACGTGTCATGCTCAAATACCAATCTTGACATCATCATAGTCTTATAAATGATGGCACTGTGGCTTACCTGCGTATTCTTGTTGTTGTGAACAACAAAATTCATCAGGATAGTTGCAATCAGTGGCAGCCAGAATAGGAGGAAGGTTATGATTATGTAGCCTGCACGCTTGGCCATTTTACTTTCTTTCTTTTTGCTGGCTCTCTCTTTCCCTGCTTTTGAAGGCATCATGCAAACAGCACCTTCTGTCTCCACGTCTTGTTTTATAGCTTCTGTTTCAGGGACATTACTGGAGACCGGAGGTAATGAAGACACTTGAGCCACTGCTGCAACAGCCAGTTTTTCTCCTTCATTGCTGCTCTTTGCTTGTTTTGGTTCAATCAGCAAGACGGAGGTAGATTCAGGGTTTTCTGACTTAGCAATCGAGAAAACACAAGGACTGATTTCTTTGGTTTCTTTGTCGGTTTTCAGTTGTTCTTTGGGCTGCTTTTCGGTGTTCAAATTGCTTGACACCTTCTGCATATTTGTGGTTGAGCTCTTAACATCAGCAACTGCATCGCCATTTGCAGGTTTTGCTTCAACATTCGTGGCACTGTGGCTGGACTGCTCTGTTTTTGATGGTTTTCCCTCTGCAGACTTCACTGCAAGGATCTGTCTGTGGTCTGTTTCTAAGTCACTTATCTCCACTGAATTTTTCTTTGATGAATCAGGTTTAGGATGCGTCTGAGCAACTGCAATGCACAGGATCTGGCTTTGTCCATTCTCCACGACCGATGTCTCTTCTTTCTTTTGCTCATCTTCCGTCGTGTCTTTTTTAGGAGGAGGAGAAGTCCCTTTATCAAATATTTTGCGATTGTGTGATCTCACGAGAGCAAATATGCGAGTATAGAATCCAATGATAAGACCAAAGCAAGCTGCCCACAGCGGGAACAGCATGTAAAGTCCAAAGTTGTCATAGGAAGACGATGTTTCTCTCCGTCGTCCTTGGCATCGCACGTACACGGGTGAGTCATTCAAATATATCAGGCAAAAAACAGCCATCAGAATAGCCAGGGTCCACGTGAGAGGAATGAGCACCATAATCCGTCTTTTTCGTTGACTAGTTTTGAAGGGTTGTGCGATGGCCTGGTACCTCTCTGCACTTATGCACGCCAGTGTTAACAACTGGATGCAGCAGCTGAATGAGAAAGAGGCTATTTGTGTGTCACAAATGAAATTGTCCAAGTGTTCCCGTTGATACACCGTCATGACGATGGTCAACAGAATGGGGCAGTCGACTATACAGCGCAGGAAGTCTATAACAGCCAGATTCACCACCAGTGCATTAATGGAAGTTTGCAGTAGTTTTTGCTGATACACTGCCAGTATGACAAAAACATTTGCTGCAATCCCCACAACAGAAGTGATTAACAGAATCAAGCTGTTTGCCGCCACAAAGGCAATGTCGATGTATTCCTCCCAAACGGTGCCGTTCCCAGAGTCCCATGCAGGTGCAGGCTCGCCTGTCATCTCCAGGGTCAAAGAGTCACCATGTTCACTTCTGCGTCTTCATTCCCTCCACGCTGACCGAGCGTATAGCAAACCTGCTGCTCTTGCCGTTGTGCATCTCCACTGAGTGAATAATATTAATGGGTAAACCTGTAGCTCGGACAAGTTACGCCAAAGCATCCGCCCTTTTCATTATCACTCCACAGCACCAGTGGGTCACCTGGGAGTACTCGCTGTTCACAACCAATAAAAACTCTGCAGTGTATTCACAGCAGAGACAACTGGAAAAAAAAGGACGGCTGTTAATTGAATAGAAGTTACATCACTGTCGTATTATTGTTGATGTACAACTTTAAAAACCAACCACAGGTTCAAATCTGAAAAGCAGCATTGATGATACAATGGTACTGTGTTGCATAGGATACTGTACGCATGTGTACAAACAGCTGTATGGTTCAGTTAATACAGTACCTCACAAAGGTTAAAAGCTCTGCGTTAAGCATGCCAGATGGATGACTTGGGAGTTCTTGAATTGGCTGAGGAAATAAAGAGAGCACTGCAGCAGGATTATAGCATGACATTGTGTAATCCTGTTTGGAGATAAAGTGTGAAATGCTCTTTGCTTCAAATGTGTAAGCTTATGGACTATGCCAAATCTGGGATTAGATCAACATGTTTTGCTCCTGACCATTCTACATATGAAAGTGATCAAACGTCTCTTGAAATCATGTGGATGAAAAAAAGAAAACAAAAACTAGAAAGTTTGTGAAAAGAAGCTGTGGCGAAACACAAACAGAGGAGCATCAGGAAGCCTTAATTCAGACATGATAAAAAGCAAGTTTAAATGACAAAAACACTTTATTTAGAAGCAGATTTTCATTTACAATATTTACATTCAGTGTGCCAAATGAAAGGAATGGGAACAAAATACGCAGTAAAACAAAACAGTTTCCTCTTGACTATACTTTACTAATAATCCCAAAGCAATCTAAAGGGGTAACAACCTCATCATCTTATAGTTTTACAGCGGCTTCCCAAATACTAACTGGGCACTGTAACAGAAAATCACCTATGTGGTGCACAATGGAAAGGGAAAACCAAATATGTCCTTGAGCACACTCATCTCACAGCACTGCTACTGCACAGAAGTCAAACTACAGTATGTCTTTCTTGAAGCTTGCAGTCCTTTTTCATGACGGGGACTGGATGGTTTCAGTCAGACCATTAAGAGACTGATCTGTTCTTCATGGATTGAAAGGATCAGCCGATCATACCAAGAGAATTAGTCATATGTACCATTTATCACTAAAAATCACAAAAGATTGTTAGACTCATTGATTTGAACTCACTATCCCATTTGTTTACACCAGCTCGTCAGCGAAAATTCTCCTCGGCTGCGTGTTTTTTTGCTTCATCTTTATTCAGTGGTGCATATTAATCTTTGTGACTTATTGTGGGTTCAGGCATGTGCTATGTGCGGGATGATGTCCTGCATTTAAATCAGGCCCAGAGACAACGTTATTATGTTATCCTTCTCTGAACTGTCTAATGCCCCTCTGAGCTGTTTAGATGAAAAATACAAAATAATACAAATGAAAAATTGCCAGACCACAGAGCAGGCGAAGTAAGAAAAATGAAAAGTCTTTTACTGCCTGACTGACTCCCCATTGTAGAGACGTGCACAAGGTAAGCTGTGCAGCAGCTTTCTTAACAGTTGCACCCAAATTTCTGGAGTTTTTATAATGTGATTGTGGGTTTAGTGAAGAACTGATTTAAGTGTATTATGTTGCCTCTGCAGCCAAAAAAACAATTGGTCACAGTGTACTCACACAGGTGCGTATGAGCCAAATTATGCCTATGTATACTGCAGCAGTGTTTTGCACAGCAGATGTCTGGAAAGTGTGAGAGTTGAGAAAAGGGCTGGACCGCAACGAAAAGTATTGATTTGGCTACTGTTGACTTTAATTACATTTTTTGCATAATAATATCACACAGGAATAAATGCTGTGCAGTATATAGCTTACATAATAATGTAATCTAAATTGGGTTGCACAGTGTACTGTATGTATGAATCGATATTTCATTACCCAACACCATGAAAATGTAAAATCTCTAACTTTCCGAAGTGAGGAAAAATCTTCCCACACTACATAGACACAGGTCTACTGCATTTTATTTAGGAACAGAAAGTCAAGTGTCCAAAGCTTCACTTCTTTACAGTCTCTCCGCAGTCTGGCTGTGTTTGACTCGCCTAACCTTGTTAAAAATGCAGACAAATGGAGACCACATTTCTCACAAAACATTCTTTTCAGTCAGTCCTTTCAAGATATCCTTTCTTTTTGTGTAGCTTCCCACATCCGTACACCTGCGAGCGTCAATATGAAAAAGATAAGAGTTTACTGATCTAAAACAATGCACAAATATAAAACTGTCTTATGGAATAGAGCCATTGTTCCAGGATAAAATGCATGGATAAAGACTACAAAAACACAATGCGACATAATGCAATTCCATTACAGGCCAAAGCAAGCTAATCTCAAAAAGAGATACAAAACAAAAAGGGAACAAAATAAGCATTTATTCAATTATGTTATAGACTGAATTGCATTATTGCACATTCTAAAGCATCTTTGTTATTTCATTCACCTTCTGATTATTGACAATCAATCTTTCAGCTGGCTCTGTTCTTTCACTGAGGAACAGTACAGAGCGTTTGTGAAAAACACACCAGCCTGTAGATGTTCTGTCCTGTGTGCTTGACGAGGCACCAATAAACACTGGCAGCTCCTGTGTTTTTGGAGGTGAAAGTCACAGAGGCAACACCTTGCTGTGCGTGTTGACGTTCCTGCTCAGGGAAGACAGACGGCTCCCTCTGTTCAAGGAGCGCATGGGGATGCTGACACTTTTGGACTCGTGGGGAATGTAGCGGCCGCATGACAACACCTCCAGGGTACAATCACGGAACTGGTGGATGTAAAAAAATGATGAACAACGTGACATTTTTTTTTTTTCTCTTATCTTTGTTCAAGCTCAGAATTGTTTCCCAGTCCTACAGAAGACTTCTGCTCACCTGTTTGTTGGAAAGGAAGTAGATAATGGGGTTGTACACAGGGCTGGTCTTGGCAAAGTACATAGGCATGGTGGCGAGCAGTGGAGGGATGTATAGCTCTGGATCCACAACTACCACCACTGACAGTGCTGTGTAGGGCAGCCAGCAAACAAAAAATGCTATAATCATGGCCAGGACCATAGTAATAGCGTGATTATTCTCCTTCTTGCTGGAACGCCCCCCTTGGAGCTCCACACTCCTGTTCAGCTAGGAGAAAGCAAAATTGACCCACATTAAAAGCTAATAACTCAGTTTAGTATGTACGTGGTAGATCGCAAACAGATAGAGGTATGAATTTTAAATATTGATTAAATGGTGTTAAAGTGTAATAAATATGCAGAGGCCATTATCAGCCCACCTTATTCATGAATGTCAGCACTTTAAAGTAGCAGTAGATAATGATTGCAACTGGGAGAAGGAAGCAGAGGAGTGTGTAGAAGATGAGATAGCTGTAGTTGCTCCACGATCTCTCTTCCCAGGCCAGAGAGCATGAAGTCTGGACGCCCTCAGGTCCATAGGAGCTCCATCCAAACAGCGGAGTAACAGCCCAAAACAAGCAGAAGATCCAGACAAACAGCAGCCCGATGATGCTTCTCCGCATGCTTAACTTTAAACCATCTTTAGGCTTACACACCACATTGTAGCGCTCATAGGCAAGAAGAGTGAGCGTGCAGAGAGACACCAGACCTAGGAAATGGGGGGAAAAAAATAAAAATTTTGGACAAAAATAAACAACTTACAAGATTTTTTTTCCTCAGCACTCAGATGGACTTTTCTCAACAATCAGGGAGAGCATCTTCGGTATCTCTAGGACAAACTCTATCCACCACTGACCAGACAGTGAGAGTGGTTTGGACACTCTGGAGTAAATTTAGCTTGAGTGAGTTAGGAAGGTCAACAATAAATTGTTACAGACATATCAATGAAGGTTTCAAGGAAGACATTAAGGAGGCAACTCTCTATGAAAAAAAGCACCCAAAAACATTTCTGTAAAGCCAGACTTCAGCAGTGATCGAAGATGTGATCGATGAAGGAGGAGAAAGTCACCCTTCATTAAAACTCCAGATACAGAGAAAGCACCGAGTCCCCTCTCACAACTAAACTTACCAAAATAATTGACTGAAAACCCTTGAAACACACAGGCTGTGTGTCCAATGAAGAAAGAGCCTTGGTAGTTGGTAATGGTGACGACCAGGGAGCCGCACAGGCCAATCATGAGGTCGGACACGGCGAGGCTGAGGATGAAGATGTTCATAGGATGGAGCAGAGACGGATTCTTCAGCATCACGGTTATGACGAGACCGTTGTTGAACACCGACAGCACTGTGTTGATGAACATGAGGAAAGAAAGTATGCTGTAGCCCACCCGAGGGAACACGGTGGGGGCTGCCGTCGCCACCTCCGCGTGGACGGACAGAGGAGGAGAGCTGGAGCTCCACGGCGTGCTGTTGCTGTCCATGGTGCCCAAATGATCCAGCTTTGGTGAAGCAGCTGAACCCACAGACGCTCTGCTCAGTGCAGGAACCAGTGTAATCAATTTGATCATTTCTGATCCCTACTCAGATTGTGCACCTGTCTGTAGGAGCCCCAAATGCAATATGGGAAATTGGTTGGTAACACGATTTGGGGGGATTAATTTCAATAAACCCACTACCATGTGAGCTATAATTGTAATTGGTAAGTTGAGTAGTTATAAACAAGAGATCAATTAGTTTCCTTTTTTTTTTTCAATTTAAAGTCATTTAAATTATGAAATATTTTGTTGTTTGTACAGCCAACAGAAAAGCAACAAAAACATAGTACACAAATCAACTATGCATTCAATAAACACATATCTGTTAATCAAATCTAATTAAAAATAAAAAAAAATGAATGAAACTGGTCAAGGATCAGGCCAATTCTGTTTAATAAATAGTGAAATAAAATGTAAAAATACACTTCACCACATATTTGAAACTACACAAAGGAGCACAAAGAAACGATGAGGTCTTGGTTGTGGCAACTGTTGTTTTTCCCTTTTATGGCCTATTCCCTTTTTTTTCATAATCATTAAAAACACTACGATTCCAGCTCATGTGTCAAATATATCTCTCACAAGCTGTTATTTCAGCACGTGTGAAAACATTTCACCCATTTTCTGCAAAAGTGTCAAACCTCAGAAACTCACTGCTGCTTTCTTCACAGATCAAATAGCAGCGTTCATGCTAAATATAGCAGTGATACTCTATTTTTTTTTCCTGAGAAACAATAACAGTTCTCACCTGCTAAAATGACGCATACAGGTTTTGTTGTGTGAAAATGGCTAAAACTATCGAATACAAAGATCTGAGAACATCAAAGTGCAATGTGTATCTCAATGTGCAGTGCATAATGACATCAGCAAGCTGGAAGGATTTGAGAAAGCTTGATTACCATAAATTATATTAGGCTATTACAAAAATATATACATTGCAGTAATGTTAACAGGAGATTAAGGCAACACAGTCTGTAATGTAAATACAAATTCCTATTGCGACAGTGGATGCAGGACAAAAAGGCAACGATAGCCTGTGTACAATCCATACTACAGAAATACATACTTAACCTGGTGTGTGACTGCCCCCTGTTGTTATGATTGTGTACAATGCATCTATTTGTATAATCTAACTAAGCCTCTCTCTCATACACTCAAGGACACACACCTTTGGCTTCAAAAGCACACTGTTCCTCTCAAGACTGAACTCTTTGGAGGAACAACTCAAGATTTTTTTTTATAACAGCTATAAAAAACTAACTAAAAACATATTAAACATAAGCAGTTTACAGACTGTTACCATTTTCTGTTATGTTAAAATGTGGCATGCATCTTCTAAAACTTAAAAACGTGAAAAACAAAATAAAGTTGAGGCGATCAGTAATGGAGATCGTTGTCTTAGAACTCTGTCCTTCCCTCTCTGATCAGACTCTGCTTTGGTCCTGTGGAGATGCGGAGGAGACAGCAGGACTCTGCTCGGGCCAGAAGGGGGACTCGTGCTGCAGAGGAGTGCGGCGAGGGAAAAAGGTGTGCTGGAAGTCGTAGTTGAGCAGGCAGCTGATGGAGGCCATGTAGATGTCAGCAAAGCGAGAGAGTCGGCGTGAGAAGTAGGTGGGGTTGTGGTACGTCCGGAAGAGACTCCCGAACTGAGCGTTGAAGATGTCCTTTGTCTGCGGCCTGTCATGTGAACATACACCGTCAAGACGTGGTCAGACTAGCTCTACAGTGGCTCAGAAAATCATCTAAAAGGACTTATCTTAAGTACCTCATGGCTTCTCTTTCTCTGATCCACTCCTGAACTACAGCTTGAGATGCTGGATCCCTGTGCACCTGTTTGGAAAAAGGGAATAGAAGTTAAGGGAAAAAATGTAAGGATGGAGGGGAAAAAGCTGCATAGGAAGATGAATGCAAAAGTTTAACATGTCCTGACCTGCATCTGTTCGATGAGTCCAGTCAGTGCCTGTAACCACGTCATCATGTGGACGTACTGCTGTGTGTTCATGATCTTGATCTCTTTCCTCAGCTCAGGGATGATGGCGCCCGTCCTCCAACCATGTTTCAGTGTTAGATCCTGTTGAACAGAAAGAAGATCAAAAGATCCCCCTTCAAACTAAATTGCTACATGCAGAATGATTTGGCATTGGAATTTACTCGTTTGGTTCAAGCTCTGAGTCACAAATCTATCTGCAGGAAATAAATATTTAAGCACAAAGGAGTGTTACAAACCATACGCTGTTTTCTTTTTTAGCTCAATCCTCCCAACCCCCAAACCCACCGACAGTTTATCAGGGAAAGAAACTGTAAAAACTAAAAGAATTTTCCACTTTTTGGGAGTCCTTGAACTGCTCATCTATGCTATACTGTTCTATCAGAAAACCCGACTAAATCCAAGCTTTAAAGCGAGACATTTTATCAAAGCCTCTTTATCCTCCATGCCTTAGCTGAAAATTCACCAAAAATAAACCCTTTGCTCTGACCAGATTCTGTGAAAAACTAAAAATTCTGTGCTCCTCAGGGCAACCACGAAGCCAATAGTCAATAATGAATGAATTGTTACCAACACTTCTGAAAATTCAGGGAGTTTTAGGAGACAGATATAGAAACAAATTAGAAATGAAAGTGGTAAAGTATCTACAGTATGTAAAGTATGCTAGTATCTGTAACATCTGTGGGCACTTGGAGAAATGTGGTACATGTTGACACTAGTTTTGTTTTTGTAGGCAGAGGAATTTACTCTTTTCCACAGTTTCTGGTATTAAAATTCATAGGACTGCACAGAAGACGTGTTTAGGTTTTCTCTATTTCTAGCCATGATTGTTCTGTTTCCATAGAGGTTGAGGATTTTGTATTGCAGTAAACAATTTACCAATTTAACGTCCAGACACTGATTGATGCACAGAGGCTGGTGGTACATATTGTACAGTACAGCTAAATTTGAGTGTATTAATGCTGTTATTTCTTGAGTGACATACACATATTTTATGATTATCTGTTGAGGCACCTATGATATAAACACCTTTTCTACTATAATGGCCACACAGTAAACGACATGTCACACAACGGCAGTGCCTCACAAGATCTAGGTAGTCACAGTATTGTTCTATACTGTGTGACATTTAACAGCACTTACAGCCCAATACAGAACCAATGTAGTTGAACAAATGTTAACAAAAATGGAACTGAAGTCTAAAAACTCCCCTGGTTGCAGTTCTGCACCTGGAGCCTCAGTACAAACAACAACAATGAAAACAAAAGTGTATCTGTTCCATCAGACCAACATGACAGGGATTGAAAAACTAATCTGAAACACATCCAGGCTGATGAGAACAGTTTTTTTGGTCTTTGTGTGAGCGATTTAACTCCATAGTAGCTCAGAGGTGCTTCTGCTCTGTGTCTACCAATAGTAAGGATCTCCTTCTACAGCCCGTCTGACTGTAAGCTATTGCTGGCGTAAACCACAAACGCCAAGTTCCATCTCAGTTAACAAGCAAGACAACCTAATTAATTCTTGGCTGGCTGCTATTGAAAAGGCATCATGCCAAAAGATGTAAACTCCATCTTTCATTATCAGCCTTTATAGCCAATCAAGCACGCATCGTTATAACTCTTTGTGATGCAGTAAAAAAAACTGATGCTGGTTAGTTTGTTTACTGCGGATGAGAGACCGCTGCAGACCAGTTGCTGGGTTACTGGAATTCAAAGGTAAATGAAGTCATTAGTGTGGTAGTGGTAGGTGTGATATATCAGGAAACGCTCATTAAAATGTCTGTTAAACAAACCCAATGCTGTGGTTCAGTAGCTGGGGTTGAAAGCATAAAGTATTACAGTCTCAATCCAGTTATTTTAGAACCATTATTCTATTTTAAGCATTCACTTACTATGTGCAGCTTCTAACAGTAAGATTTAGGCAGCTACAAAGATTTACTTCAAGCTCAGGGAAAACACACTCATCTTAAATACTATCTTAAATGGAGCATGTTCAGAGGAAGGTTTCCCCTCTTTGTTCATAATCCTAATATAATATTTTCTCATACTTCAATGCTTTGTGTAGTTGCACTGAATCCTTTGTTGTAAATATGCCTGAATGCTGCTTACTGCCAAGTCACTGTAGATGTGATCTCCAAAATAGAGCACTCTGGATCCTCTCCAGCCGGTAAGTCTGAGGAACTCATAAAGGTTTCCCTAGAGATCAAACACACACATTAAAAAATAATCAACCGTGTGTTTCATGAGGCGTATCCAGAATAATTTATTAGAAATGTTAAACTGGCTTGTCATGATAATTTAACGGCTCAGCACCTGTTTGTAGATTTGCCCTTTTTCCAGCCTGTGAATCCTGTCCCACAGCAGCGCACCTTTGTCTGTCACTCGCCTGAAAGGTCTAGGACAAAACACAGAAAGACAAATCTTACCCACTTCAAATGCTGGCAGCTCCAAAATGACAGTACAACGATGTGCTACATTATAAAGGATCTGCAACTAACTGGCTGGCAGTGCAGCCATATTGCATGTGTTTATGAGGCTGTGCACACAAACATACTTACTTTCTCCTGTCATTGAAGAAACCAGGTTTGTCGGCCTGAACAATAACAACATCAAACAGGTCCCTCCAGTCCTTTCCTACAATGTAGCTCATTCCTCGGTCCCTGAGAAGAGAAATTATGACTTTGTCAGCAGCATCTTGAAGCTCATTATGAGGGTTCAAAAGCACTAGAGCTCAGGGCAAAGCCACCATACACCAGCATGTCCATACAGTAATATGTTAGTGTGCTATTCAATAAAACTCAGCGAAATTGCCATGTTGTTCAACCTGGCTGTTCCATGTCAATTTGTTGAAAAAGTGGATAGTGTGCACTTCAAACCAGTTAGGTACCCACTAGGCTGTCCACAAACTGAAATCTGCAAGCTGTCAATGTCTTCATTTAAAATGTACTGATTAAAACATCTAAAATCGTACAGTTCAAACTTGTAAACCTGAAAATCCCAGTGTGCATACGGCCCCTTGTTATTGCTGTGATGGCTCAATGTGCCAAACTATTATATCAAGGACATCATTTTAGTGTTTTTTTGGCTCTGGCAAGTCTTTTGCGGTTGGATTCGCATAGCTGGTCACTTCATGCAAACAACCCTGATTTCAAAAGACTTTATAGTCGATGACTTGCAGAGAATTACAAATACTACCCTGCTGATCTGTGTTTAGCCATCCATAAAAGATGGGGCATTAGACAGTGGCAACCAATTAAACATGAGTACACCAATACATGACATTTTTATATAATCACGCCAACAAACTCTTGTACTCTGTTTGCCCATACTTACACAAAGTCAAAGGGGCTATTAGTAATGAGGAACATCTTTTTCCCATGCGCTGACAGCTTCTTCAGCACAGCCTGGCTTTGCTCACCGTAGCAAATGTATTTGTCTGGAAAGAGAAAAACAGGGAGGATATTAGGTATAAGGGTGGGTGGTACTGCTATAGTGTGGGCAAACAAAATTCTGCTTTTTTTGTGTGAATATCACAGCCTCATCATGTCTAAATTATATTTGTATTTCTTGGCAACAACTCAGGCCTCCTAATTTTTCATTATCAGCCCAAACAAAGTAATATAAATCAAAGAACATTACCAATATCTGCTTCCACAGCTCGGTACATGATGCCCTTGACGTGAACATCTCTAATAGCTTCCTGTGAAGAGGGAAAGTAAACAGCCCCCAGCGAGGAAATCATGACTTCAATGACACAATGTTAACATTCAGCTCCAATAGCAACTTTTTAGATGAGCAGTTGACTTGGAAGTACAAAGAAAGCACAACTCTGAATACAAATTGAATGCGAAGAAAGCAGACCCTAGAGTTTAGTTACTTTGGTGACACAGTGAGAAAGCTTTTGAATCAGTGAATAAGTGAATAGGCTCTCCCGTGAAAACCTGCACATTTAAGGGCAAACTTGGGAAGTTCATCAAATGCAAAGACTATTTGATGCACAGAAAAGTCAAAGTTTATAATAATAGGGTCAAAACTGAATAATAAAGCAGGCTCCGACAGAAAAAGAAGATTAAGGAGGGTGTCCTTGAAAAGATATGAGAGGGACTCGCGGAACAGTGAGCGGAGAGCGAGCGAGGGCTTTTAAAGACAGCGATCTGTCAAAAACACAACAGTGTCACACCGAGTAGACAGGACCAGCATGACAGCTGGCCTCAAAGGGAGAACACAGAGCTGATTTCTTGCCCCTCTCCCTGTGAAGAAGCGGAGCCACCAGAGAACAGACGCACATGGCTGGAGGCAAGCTTGCTTGACTAAAATTAGACGCTGCTTTTCAGAGCTAAAATTAAGACGGCATTGAGTATCACCGCACGCTACAAGCATGTAAATAAATTAATATACACGCGCGCATGTGGCTGGATTTGATGTATTCACACACAGTGGCCCTCGGGAGATGCAATAAAGAAAAAGGACAGCGCTGTTGAATTATCTGATCGCAATTTCCCCTCTGATCAAACAAGACTGAATAATAACAAGGCAGTTCACCTTTACGTCTTTGTAGAGATGGACTGGCTCGTAGTCGATGTTGTGCTTCATGAAGAAGTCATTGACACACGACAGGAGGGTCATCTCAGGAAGCGAGAATATGTCCATGAACTGCTTCATGGTGTGGCCATGTGAACTCTGCAGGACAGAAATTGTCGTACTTCATTTTTTGTTTTTGAATTTGCAGTATTTGTGTTAGGAGTAGAAGTGAGCGTCACCTTGCCGTAGAAGTCGCTCATGATCTCTAGAGGTACATGACAGCCTTCATACATGGCGATTACTTCCTCATCAGAAACTGGGTGAAGACCCCTGAATAAAAAACATGAAAAATCATAAATCCCCATAACCCACAGAAGGGCCGTAAGCTCTGAAGCCTCAAATGCTGCATGATTGCATCAACTTGATATTGCACATTTTAGCTCAGAAATCTTTGAGATTACATTAAAAAAAAAAAAAAAAGCAACTTAAACTCAAGGTGTAAAGTTAATTTTACATTTGTCTGAAATGCATTATGTATTTCCAACTACCCCAATGTGAGAGGTAGCATGGTGCACAGATACCTGTATACAGTTCCCAACTGAATGTAGTGAAAAGCATCTATCTTCATCAGCAGTGCCTATTGAAAATCAATAAACACTTTCATAAAAATGATCCTCACGATGAGCTTCAATTGCAAAACATTGTCAAAACAGTTTTTGAGTTAAACAAAAAAAGGTTCGTCTCACCTTCTGGACATCATAGTGGAGTCCTCTTATCGCAAACTTTGGAATATACTCATACTTTCGGAGATCCTCTGGATACTAATAAAAAACAAAATCAAAAATTGGTTTAAAATTTTCTTACAACAGAAGTATCAGTTCAACTGAATCTTAAAGCAGTTAAGCGACATCTGTGAAGTAAACCACAAGGGTGATCCACCTATGCAGCTAAATGAGGCCTGAACACAGTCATAGTCCTGTTTAAAACCTTTCAAAGTGGTGTGATTATTCCACCTATTTTTCTCTAAGCCCTCCTCAACATTCATTAATGAAAATCATCTCTTAGAATCTCTGCTGGAAGACATTTGAGGATTAAATACTATTCTCAGTAGCACAACAACAGTGCCTTTACTGTCTGATCTGATTTTAGTGACACACTTTTTTATGACAAACAAGAGTCACACACCCGGTGTTTAGTGATGAGTATGTCCCGTGCTATGTTGAAGATGAGGGTGTGGAGATGGCTGGAGTAGAACGCCAGCGTGTAGTCATAGTCGAAACCGTAGATCTCAATGTCTTGCAGGCTCATCTCATTGTTGGCAAAAATGGTGTCTGGGTCGACAGAGTCGGTGGAGATAGCTGGAATCAAAATTAAGATGAGAGAAGAAAAAAACTATGGTTATTTTTGGAGTTTCCCTACATTTGTAAATGTGATGGAACACATCTTTGGACAAAGGGGCAGCTTAAAATCAAGTTTCTTGAAGGTAGTGAATAAGTTTGCTTTGGTGTCTAGAGCACTGCCAGCATACACCAGTCTGGACTGCATGCATGTTAAACTGTTATCCAACTACTTATTACTCACTTACCACTATTTTCTAATTAACACATAGGCAGTCATGGTGTAGTGATTCGAAGAACTGGGCAAAAACAGATCTAAGAGGAGTCAACATGTGCTCTACTGTCTAACTCTGTCACTAATAAACAAATTAATATTACAAACTACTAATTTCTACCCTGAAATCTGATCCTCCTGTGCAAGATTAGGGCCCCAATTTTTCCCTGCTTGTTTAGGATTCTGTCACTTTTTAAATTTCAATTCAGGCAGGAGAGGATAAAATAATAGGAACACTTAGTGTGCACTTATCCAGTAGGAAATCACCACAAAGTTGATTCAAACCTTCTCTGACACAGTTTCAACACATACTATACACTTTCTTGTTGGATTAATTAATGACTGTTCCGTTGACTTGCATCATATTCTACAGGCCTTTATACTGTGTTTGCCATAATCACAAAACAGTGACTACAAACCTCATTCAAAATTTGATTTAATGTTAAGGAAACACCTAAAAGTATTGTACGGGGCATTCTTTGCAGCACTGCGACTTCAAAGTCACAAAAAATGGTACGATGCGACATTTCCACATTTGTAGGCGTTTATTGTTTGAAAGTGTGTTAGTGTGCTAGCTGGTGCATTAACAAACAGGAAACATGAGCCATAACACGGCTATAAAGCAGCAGTGTTTAGTATGTAGTACAGTACAGTCTCTCAGTGAATGACCCTGGTGTTGTCATAGTGCTCATACCTTCAGTCTGTCTTTTGGTCTCATGGTAAATAGACCACAGCCTCTCTGTCATGTCCTGGCCGTCTGCAGAGCTGCTACAAACAGATGCTGCGTAGTTTTTGGCTCTGGGCTGCTGGGACAGGAGTGGACCGACTCCCCGGGACACCGCGACGAAATTCCGTTTCCATAACCGAGACCTGAACGGTCGCTGGCGTAAGCCCTGTAAGACATTACGGAAAATATTTGCCCTCTGCAGACAGTCCGTGTGCTTCAGAAGAGACGAAATAGGCAACGACAAGGGCGCCATGGCTCCGTGGACCGTGTGGAGGTCGCGGTGGGCTCCCTGCCGGCTGCATGCGCCGAACAGCACCTCCTGTAAATACCGAAGCTGTCCCTGTGCGGCTGCTCTCGCGTTACTTCCGTGTTTGGCGACGTCCCAGGCGGCCAGCCAATCAGAGGCCGATGCGTCTGCTGCTCGGTCTGTCCCTGCTGGCCCTGTACGGCTGGGATCAGTTACCAGGTACATTTATTAAATATGCACCATCCAGAAAACTACCATTGTACAGAGCTGCTGTAAGTTCAGGTCAACAGAGTTTTCTCTTCCTCTGCCATTAAATGCCTTGAAACTAATCTAAAATGCCAAGGTTTGATTAAATTATATAGATGATAACAATAATAATACTGGGTTATTCAAAATCAAAATATATAAAATCTAATCAGACTTTTTCAGGACAAGCTCACGAGACACTTATTAGATGGCTGATTCCTTTTTTTGCTTGTGAAAAAAATCTAGCAACTCCACGCTTCTTTTAGCAAAATACAGAAACAGCTCCGGTACAGCTTTACAGAGTAGAAAAATAGGCCTAGAACACACTATTGTATCTACTAGCATTTCAACACGACATTATTTTGATCATAGTCAATGTGGACAAAGACATGAGGCAGACAGACATATATTTAACCTAAATCCATCCATCCATCCATTATCTATACACCACTTAATCCTCACTCGAGTCACCGGGGAGCTGGAGCTTATCCCAGCCTACTCAGAACGAAGGCAGGGGACGCCTGCATTGAGAGACAAACAAATACACTCACATTAACACCTACCCACAATTTGAAATCACCAGTTAACCAATTTTGGACTGTGGGAGGAAGCTGGAGAACCTGGAGAGAACCCATGTTACACAGGGAGAAAATGCAAATTCTACACAGAAAGATCCCAGGTGTCCTAACTGGGACGCAAACCGGGGATCTTCTAGCTGTGAGGCGGCAGTGCTAACCCCCAAGCCACTATTCAGCCCCTGAACCTAAATCCTGTATTTCATTAGACAACTGGTTGAACAGGGATTTCAAATCTATTAGAGGAAAGATCCAAAGAGTTGCCATGTTGCCAAGTGCAACACCCCCAGCTCTATGTCAGTTAAAAAGAGAAAATAGGGCCCCCCCTATAGCTCACCTGGTAGAGCGGGCGGCCCATGAACAGGGGCTGTAGTTCCCCGATGCAGCGGTCGTGAGTTCGAATCCCGCTCATGACCCTTTGCTGCAGGTCTGTCCCCATTCTTCTACTGCACTAAATAAAGGCAAAGGCCAAAAAAATATATATATATAAAAAAAAGAGAAAATAGACAGCTCTTAAAACCGCTTACAAAATTACTGAGATAAAGGTACAAAAAAATAAAAAATATATACTAGAGGTGTTAAGAAAAATCCTCAGTGGAGTCCTAACTGCTCCAAATCAATACACAGAGTCGTCTCTTAAGTCAAAGCAAAGTTTTACCTGCAGCAAGGAGCAACATGTACAGCACAGAGTCTGAACAAGTGACTAACTAAAAGCATGAAGCATTGGTTCTTATATACAGAAAACAGAAGACAACCTCCCGCAAATGTATGTGTTTAGGCATGGAGGTCTTGGATGTCTTGTCCTTATCTCACACTCACAAGGTGAAATAGAGACAATAGATATTTACAGCATTCTCATTCTTTTCACAAAGATCATTGGATCATGACATAGAATTATTCTAACAAGAGGAAACATCTGTCTGAGGTGCCACACCGGAGGAAATAAAGCTACCAAATCAACATTCAATTTTGATTTAATTACAAGCTCCTATTTAGACAAGTTCAAATTCTGGACAGCAGACAAAAAGAGCAAAGCCAGTTCTTATCTTTGCCCAGGTCTCCAAATTGCTCAGAACCAAACGTTATTTGTTCAGCATTTATTAAATGTCTTGCTGCTTCTGCCCACGTATTTGAGAATAGGCCTACAGGGACCTCTTTCACAATTAATGAATGTGTGCATACACCTAGTCCAGAGTCCCTGTTCTCCATTCAGCCTTTCTTCATTGATCTTGCTCTTGAAGCGCTGCAGGTCGTCTATACCCCGAAGCACGGTGAGCATAATTTTGATCCTTTGTTCTTAAGATTATCTGCACCTCTTATTAAGGGACACGTCAAATATATGTTCAACCTTTCTATTAAATCAGATAATTGTCCCAGTGTTTGGAAGTTGGCTCATTTATTCCCCTTTGCACAAAGGCAGAGACAGAAACGATCCGCAAAACTATCGCCTCATCTCAAAACGGGCATGTTTCTTAAAAATCTTGGACTCATTAGTGAAGAATCAGTTGAATCCTCCTCCTCAGAGCATCCTATCCTAAGTGCTAGACTGGTTTTATAGCTCTTCAAATCATCATCTCAACTGTCAAACTAGTAATAAAAGATCTGAGTGGATCAGAGGAAACATTGTGCCGCTATATATCTGATACAGTTGACCATTCTTTACTTATAGATAAATTGCATATTGATTCTTAGAGCTAGTTTCAGAATGAATGACGTCAGTGTGTGAGGATGGAGGGAGCCCAGTCTGGATTCCTGCAGGTGGTGACAGTTGTGCTGCAGGTATGTATTCTGGGCTCTGTCCTGTTCAGTATGTATATCAATGAAAGTGTCTCTTCTGTGTGGTTGCCATATACTATTTTATACTGTATTGCTGACTCTGCTGAAAAATCTACAGAAACTACACCTCTCATTAATCTTAAGTAAATTCCTAATGCTGATAAAAAACAAATTGCGTGGTTTTCTCAACTTGTGTATTCCGCAAATTGGTATTGGTTTAAATGTTGAATGGGTTACACAGTGCAAGTCTCTTGGCTTTTGGTTGGAAGATAAATTAACATTTAAATACTATATTAGGAATCTTGTTGGCAAACTATGATAAAATATTGTCTTTTTGCACAGAAATAAAGGCTGCTTTCCATTAATTTGTTGGAAAAAAGAGTTATTTAATGAACTTGCCTGTCAGTTCTTTACTACAGGGATATAATTTACAGACAAACTGCTGCCTCCACATTTAAGCTCCTAGATTCTGTTTCCACTCAGGCCTGAGGTGTATTACTGGTGGTAGCTACAGTACTGACTACAGTGTCCTCTATGATATGGTCAAATGGTCGTCTCTGACTGAGAGATAAGATATCTGTATATCTATATAACTCTCTTCAGAAAATTACCACCATACATCACCTTGATGTTGCATTGGAACCCTTGTCTACTTTTAACTTGTTCCAATGATTGTATGGTTCTTCATGTGCCTCGCATCAGGATGAATGTTAGAAGGACTGTTTTTAATATTAGTGCAGCAGACTCCTGGGTTTTGATTTTTTGTTTTTCTTCTACAATGTGACCTAAAACGGTTAACTCTTACACCTCTTGGGCATTTTTGGAATGTGCTTAACACTCGTCCATTACCTGCTTTTAAACTTTTTAATAGATTTTACTTGATGCTGATGGGAAAGGTTTTACTGACCAGTGTAACTATTTTAAGGGATTTCATGTTTCATGATATAATCTTGGCACAACTGTAGTAAACTATAGCAATAAGTCTAGAGATACTTTATCAAAAGTTCTTTATTTTGAGGAAGCTGGCATATACAGTCAAGAGTTACTATCTCCTAACTTTTGAAATTATATATTGTTTTGTTTTTGTCTGTTTGTTTTCAATATAGTTTAATCCATCCATTTTTTTCCTGAGCTCTTTTATATAAAGGGTTGACTTCTAGTTGGAAAAACATACTTAAACATACCTAAAGCAGCTGACAGTGTGTTCAATCAAACTTAACACTGTTTTAAATGTTCTGGTAACAGTCATTCCAGCTTTATGAGTATTAGCCCACGCACAGGCACATGTAATATCACACTCACACCCAACAATAACTGATATTTGACCCCTGTAGCTTGATCCTGCTCTCTCATAACCAGGTACACACCCATCAGTCAGGTCAAGCAAACAGCACAACAACATGAACATATATAGGACAACCTTACATGCTGTTCATTCTGCTTCTGTTACTATTTTGTAATTAGAACTTTGTGTCTTTTCTTTTCTGTGGTTTGTGTTTTGTCCTCTCTGTAGATATCTCTGGCTGCAGTTTTTTTGGCCTCACTGGCCTCCCCAGTGTTTGCTGTTCTCCTATGCAATGTATGTTTTATATTTGCTTATCCTATTCTCTCTCACATTTACCCTCACCATGACTGGTTAAGACAGATAGCCACCCTGCCATAGCTTGGTTCTTCTGGTGGTTTCATACTGGATTTTTATTTTACTCCCACTGCCACCAACAAATTTTGAATTTGTTGAGTATGTCTATCATCTTGTACTGCCTTCACCTTTCTATGTGAAGCACCCTGAGATGACATGTGTTGTGAAGTGGCGCTATGTAAATGAAAACCAAATGAATTGAAATTATTCCAGGGTAATTTCTCAAACTGATCAGACAGTGTTGGTTAAAAATAGAAGTTTTCCATCATGTGCATGTTACACTGCAGGTAACTCAATAGCGACACCTTGTGGATAAAGACAATAAGTGCACATAAGCGATACACATTCAGTGTTTGCTTCCATACATACTTTAAAAGAGAAAGCAGTGCAGATAGTTAAAACAACACACCATATGCACAAATAAACATTAGATCATGTATACTGACATAGACTGAAACAGACACAGATCTAATGTCAATACACCAAGAGGCTCGTCATCCTTAATGTCATCGAGCTTTATTGTGTCACTCTGGCTGTTTTACTGCACAAGAAAATCAAACTTTAACCAACGTGTGGGCTGAGACTTTCCCCCACACTGGAAGGTAAATTTTAGGAAGTGATGTGCTGATTATTCATTCTTGGCCAATGGTGTCCAGCCACGATTTTCGGGTATTGACTTATGTTGAAGTATCTGATTGGACAACATGTACCGAAGACTCTGCTGTGATTGGTCGAAGGTTGTGCGTGGTGCGCAGCCATTGGCTGGTCATCACGGGTTTAAGAGAGTGGGCTCTTATGGTGGGAGAGGCAGCCTGTCAGTCTCTCTGGTAAAACCAGTGCTGCATGCACTGCTCCCCGGCTTTTGTCTCTGGAACTGAAGACTCACGTCGTCGTACAAGCAGTAATCCAAAATGAAGCGAGTTTGGGTGATAGGTCTTCTCTTTGCACTTTTAGCCTTTGGTAAGTAACGGAAAGATTTGCTGTGTCGTCTCACGTTTTCTCATTCAACGTTTTAGCTAACATTAGCCAGTCAGCTAACGTGAACTTGCTTCTGTGCGTCTTCTCTGCTCATTCATGACTACAGTTTTCTTTGGTTTACAAGCCTCATTTTGCATACTTGCTAATGATAGGCAGCATAAGTAATTTACATTTATCGTATGTCTGTGAGCTACGCTGGAATCCGTTATTCCTTCTCCAGAAGTTTCTAGTAGACACATCACGTATGTTCAAGCAATATCACGTTAGCTAACATCTCCATTATAAAGTGGTGCTGATGTAAAGATGCATGTCCAATTTTAGACAAAATAGAAAGCCAGATTAACTTTGCATCATTGTATTTGGTCATATTGAAATCATCTTACATGATAGACCTTTGTAGTGCCAAAAAGTGGTCGTCTATCAAACCCTGATTGCTGGCCATGGGAGCAATTTCATCTCCCTGCATTACTGTTACCTGCTCTGCCCGCTGGATTACAACCAACCCAGTTGCTTTACAGAACCACTCAGTTCATACAATGCAATTTCCACATGTCAAAAAGTAACTGCAGCCTCTGCATTGTGACAGAAATGTTACTAATGCATCAAAATTACTTGATTTCATACATGATTTTTTCAAAAAAAAGTTTATAACATTGAAGGATAACTGCAAAAGACCAAACAGATATGGCCTGACATTGCAAACAGTACTATAAGATTGTCTATAATCATCCTGAATGTCTGACTGAATTCCGCTATAAATTGAAAGTACTGTTTCGTCATAATCAAATGTTGCTTTTGCTGATACCAGACACAGTTTTGTCTATTTGCATGTTATGACTGGTTGATCCAGAGCAAAGCAGTTGTAGATGTATTTGAATTGGGGAAATCCAGCTTTAACATGAAGCAAGCAATCGGTTTATGGTAGAAGATCAGTCTTTGGCAAATCACTGGATACACTACCAGCAAATAGTAAATTAGATTTTAAAAAAATAACTAAATCTAACAACTTTTGTCCTTCAACAGCTGCTGTAAAGGCAGACGATGAAATTGACGTCGACGGAACAGTAGAAGATGATTTGGGTAAAAGCAGGGATGGCTCCAGAACAGATGACGAGGTGGTGCAGAGGTGGGTGTCACTTCTAATATCCTTTTTTTTTTCTTTTTTTCATATGCCTGTTGAGTGCACTATAACTGTTTCTGTATCGGGGTAGGTCGACTCGATGTTAAGTTAACAGCACAAGGTCAACATGACCAAGCTTGAGCACACAAATGGTCACAGCAACCCTGGAATTGTAGTGGGGGCAGAGCAGTGCTGAGTTTACTGCACATCCCTCATTAGGAGTAGGGAGTCTTGTGTTTCTTCATACCCACAATTTCAGATCCCTAAAAGGGTGAACAGATTTTTGTGTTGTTTGTTGACAGCTGTAATTTGCTGTTGTGCACTCACCCGAGCTCAACTCTATGTGCACCTGTCTTCCCTCAGAGAGGAGGAGGCTATCCAGCTGGATGGGTTGAATGCTGCTCAAATTAAGGAACTCAGGGAAAAGTCTGAAAAACATGCCTTCCAGGCTGAAGTCAACCGTATGATGAAGCTGATTATCAACTCTTTGTACAAGAACAAGGAGGTGAGTACAAAAAATAAAATCATTATTTACAATCAGCAGTCCTGTAAGGTGATTTCTTTAGATTTACTTGTATGGCATTGCACACAGACCTCATCATCCCCTTGTTATATTTCAGATCTTCCTTAGGGAGTTGATTTCCAATGCCTCAGATGCTCTGGATAAGATCCGCTTGTTGTCTCTGACCAATGAAGATGCAATGGCCGCCAATGAAGAATTGACCATCAAAATAAAGGTATGTGCAAGAAATATTTACATTTATTATGTATAATAAACTTTATTGGTAATGTTAATAATTTTTATGTGTTAGTAATTTATTTGTATTGTTCCCACCCCCAGTCCGATAAGGAGAAGAACATGCTCCACATTACTGACACTGGTATTGGAATGACCAAGGAGGAGCTCGTAAAGAACTTGGGAACAATAGCTAAGTCTGGCACCAGCGAGTTCCTCAACAAGATGACAGAGATGCAGTCTGAGGGGCAGTCTACTTCAGAGCTGATTGGACAGTTTGGTGTTGGTTTCTACTCTGCTTTCCTTGTTGCTGACAAGGTCATTGTGACATCCAAGCACAATAATGACAGCCAGCACATCTGGGAGTCTGACTCCAATCAGTTTTCTGTCATTGAGGACCCTCGTGGAGAAACACTGGGCAGAGGAACCACCATCACGTGAGTTATTTGCATGTTAAGTCACCTGCACCAGTTTGTTTCACTTTTAATATGCAAAACTGCTGTTGAATGTATTGCAATCATCACCTCTTATTCTATTTCTTTGATTAATATTGTGATTATTGAACAACTGGTCTTATCATGACACAGAATTTTGGAATGGTATTGACTTTTATCTTTATCCAACTTTAGATTAGTCCTGAAGGAGGAGGCCTCCGACTATCTGGAGCTGGAGACAATCAAGAATCTTGTCAGGAAATACTCTCAGTTCATCAACTTCCCCATCTACGTTTGGGCCAGCAAGGTGATTAGTCACAACATTTTTCACACTTCATTTTTAAATTGTGCAACTGACAAATATGGAAATGAGCGGTTACATAATTTCTTTCTCAACATTCAAGACCGAGACGGTTGAAGAGCCCATCGAGGAAGATGCCGAGGCAGCAGAGGAAACCGAGAAAGAGACTGCCGAGGACGAGGCTGAGGTTGAGGAAGAGGAGGAAGACAAAGACAAGCCAAAGACAAAGAAGGTATGATGTTACTGTAGAAATGGTTATATTTACATTTATGAGGCGATTGTTAGCAATGTCTTAATCTGTATGTTGTGGAAGGTCAGAGCTGTGTGTTAAGGTCCAATTAAGAGTCACTACACGTATTGTATCTTGTGTTTTCCAAAATGTATAAGCTAAGATCTGTAAAGTTTGCTCTGTTTTCCAGACACGAGTCAGAAAATATATGTCTGAGAGTATTGTTACACTGAGATATTAAGGAGAGAAAGTAAACCATGTCAGCAATTACATAGCCTTTAGTTAATACTCTAATTTGTTTCAAAAGGGTGGTGTTTGTTTTTTTTTTTTTGTGATTTGTGAAAGTCTTTTTTTGCATCTGTTGTAGGTTGAGAAGACTGTGTGGGACTGGGAACTGATGAACGATATCAAGCCCATCTGGCAGAGACCAGCGAAGGAGGTTGAGGAAGACGAGTACAAGGCTTTCTACAAGACCTTCTCAAAGGTAGGCACATGACAAGCAGTGTAGAATGTTTGCCTTCATTCAGGCTCAAAATGTTTAATTTCATGAAGTCTGACTGTGTTCCACTCTTCAACAGGACAGCGACGACCCTCTGGCTCACATCCACTTCACAGCTGAGGGTGAGGTTACCTTCAAGTCCATCCTGTTTGTGCCCACTTCAGCTCCTCGTGGCCTGTTTGATGAATATGGCTCCAAAAAGAATGATTACATCAAGGTGTGTGTTTTAAGCAGTATTTATTTATTTTTTTAAATCCATTTTAAGGGATTGTGTGTGCTTTGAAGGAAAAGCTGTTCAGATATTCCCGTTGAACACACTTTGAAAATGAATGTGTTTCTTTCACAGCTGTTTGTCAGAAGAGTTTTCATCACAGACGACTTCAACGACATGATGCCCAAGTACCTGAATTTCGTCAAGGGAGTGGTGAGGACTTTTATTAATTCTACTTAAGGACACCCCTGTGTTAATATGAAGTGCTTGGTCTCTGCGTTAATATCATCTGCACTGTGATTGAAGGAAATTTATTTTGCCAGGTTGACTCTGATGACCTTCCTCTCAATGTGTCCAGAGAGACTCTGCAGCAGCACAAACTGCTCAAGGTGAGCGCGACACTGAACTTGAATACAATGCCAAAGATTTTATTTTTTTAAATATCTTTTGATGCCATATTTTAGCTGGTGTAGTTTAATATTGTATTTGGTGTTTTGTGAATGATGAATCTGGTCCTTACTGTTGTAGCATTGAAAGATTTTTGAATTTAATTTGATGCAAAAAGATATGAAAGCAAACTTCATATATGTCTTGCTTTTTATAACACAAGTCATTGTTTATCTTGTCCCTGTTTAGGTTATTCGCAAGAAGCTGGTTCGTAAGACTTTGGACATGATCAAGAAGATTGCAGAGGAACAGTACAACGATAAGTTCTGGAAGGAGTTTGGAACCAACATCAAGCTGGGTGTCATTGAGGATCACTCCAACAGGACCCGTCTTGCCAAGCTGCTGCGCTTCCAGACCTCCAACAGTGACACAGAGCTCGCCAGCCTGGAGCAGTATGTTGAGCGCATGAAGGAGAAGCAGGACAAGATCTACTTCATGGCTGGTACCAGCAGGAAGGAGGTATGTAAACGTGTTTATTTGTATGATCAGTTGAAATGTGCGATGATGTCACAGCCTTGTCAGATACAAGATGTGCTGAAATTCCCATCATCTCTACTATTTTCCCTCTACAGGCTGAGTCTTCTCCCTTCGTAGAGAGGCTGCTGAAGAAGGGCTATGAGGTGATCTACCTGACAGAGCCTGTCGATGAGTACTGCATCCAGGCACTGCCCGAGTTTGATGGAAAACGCTTCCAGAACGTGGCGAAGGAGGGTGTCAAATTTGATGAGAGTGACAAGGCCAAGGAGAAGAGGGAAGCCCTGGAGAAGGAGTATGAGCCTCTCACCACTTGGCTGAAGGACAAAGCTCTGAAAGACAAGGTAGAGAGCCAGTTGTCTTGTAATATTCATGGCAAAGGGGAAAAAAAAAACCAGATCACCCGAAGTGCTAAATTTTGGATACAGCTGCCAAGTTTTGTCTTTTCCATCTGTCACATATTTATGAGGATGTTTTTTCCCAACAGATTGAGAAGGCTGTGCTGTCTCAGAGGCTAACCAACTCACCTTGCGCTTTGGTTGCCAGCCAGTACGGCTGGTCAGGAAACATGGAGAGGATCATGAAGGCACAAGCTTACCAGACAGGAAAAGACATTTCCACAAAGTGAGCAATAATAATCCTCATCATTGGAGTTGCATGTCTGTTAATACCACTGCTTTACTAGCCGCTCAAATGTCAATTCACTTCTCTCTTCAGTTACTATGCCAGCCAGAAGAAAACACTAGAACTCAACCCCAAACATCCTCTCATCAAGCAGATGCTTAGCAGAGTCAATGTAAGTGTGACCACTCCCACTCACATATACACCTATTGTAGTGATGCCATATCTTGGAATTTTATTTGATCTGTTTTTTTAAAAATGAATCAGTGCTAGACTTGATTTCAGTGCGCCATGTTTTAACATAGAATAGACTGGAGCATAGAGGTCAATGGTTTCTTTTCTGTCCTGTTTCAGACTGATGCTGAGGACCAGACTGCATCAGACCTGGCTGTGGTTCTGTTTGAGACGGCCACACTGCGCTCAGGCTACCAGCTGGCTGACACCAAAGCTTATGGAGACAGGATAGAGCGTATGCTCCGACTCAGCATGAATGTAGGCCTGGACGAACAGGTACGGCCACATCAGCTCTCACATACTAATTTTTCTTTTGTTTTTGGTAAAATTTGTGTGGCAAATAGTGTCAGCTTCAGTGTGCGTGCTTTGTCATACAGTTTTGTTTACATGTTGCTTTTGATTTGAAAATCATTCCACTTCATTTCATTTTCATTAAATATCTTATGACTCTTCTACAGATTGAAGAAGAGCCAGAGGAGGAGCCAGAAGAACCAGCAGAGGACGACTCTGAAGATAAAGAGGAAATTGTAGATGAGGATGATGATGAAGAAACGGTAAGAAGGCTTTGCAAGTGTTGTATGTTGAGGATGCAAAATGGAGAATTCAGATGTGGAGTATTTACTCCACTGGCTGTCCTTTCATTTCTTTTCTTTTTCTTCTCTCACAGGCACCAACAGACAGGGATGAACTGTGAAGCACTGAATAGAAGAAGCGCGTAACATTGGAGCTGTTCTCGAGTCTTGCTCCAGTACCACCGTGGTCGATGTTATCCTGGGTTGGGGTTTTTTAAGGCGAACATTGTTTGTTTTTGTTTTTTTTTTTATTACATTCCTCATGACTGTAAATTTGTTAATATTTAACTGACCTGTTTATGGAAAGATGCGATCCTGTCTATTGATCAAATAAATGTTTCCTGGAAAAACGACTTGCATCAGTGTCTGTTTGGTGAAACACGTTTATCTTCATGTCAACATTTGCTACATAGTGGATCTTAAGTAATATATTTTAGCGGAGTGTAAAAAACAAATACAAAGTGATAAACTGGTTCTTTGCCGTAGCTACCGTCAGTTGTTTTGTAAAGGCTTCTTAGTGTAACGAACAATCTTTCATGAGGCCACGTCGTTATGCTCAGATTTCAGAAACACTAGAATTAATTAATATGCCAAAGGGAGCAAACAAAACACCGCTGAGTACTTTGTGCTTTTTGTTGTGTTATGCTCTGAACTTTTTCCCATTAGTTTTAGCAAGATTTTTCTTAATGAGCTTCCTACCTGGAGAAAAGCTTTAATTCTCTGTACAGCCTCAACATGTTTTATGTGGATCACCAATGGTTAAAGAACAACAACCTTGAATCGGCACACCTCCACTAAGTTTTACTGTTTCTCAGACCTACAGAAAATTATATATTTACTAATGAATATCCTCTGGTACTCATTAACTTAGGATAGAGAAGTCTTCCCCCTTGCAGGCCTTTATTTCGTCTGTTGTACTTAAACCCACCAAGGAACACATTTAGCCTTAATGTCTTGTGCTGTATCTGTTGTTTACAGAATATATGATCTTTTTTTTACTACTACTGGTTGTTCTGGCCTGCTGGACCACCAAGGTATGTGTCTCTGCACCTGCTGCAGACTTCAACAAAAGGACTAAAGAAGTAGAACAGCTGTAAGTGTGTGAACCATTTTTAAATCCTATAGTGAATGTTAGTTTTTCACTGGTGATGCGTGATTTCAGACAAATGATTTGGGATTCATGCAGAGGTGCATTTAAAGATAAATAATTTAGGGCAATGCTCATCTTTTCATTTTGGCTTACTGTGTGTATTTGCTTTTCTATTCCACAGATTTAATTTGAAAAAAAAAATGCACAAAAAAAAAAATTCCCACACACTTAAATGAAGAGGACTGAAGGCTGTGCACCTATATTTTCCTTATAGCACCCCTAAAGAGAGCAATCTTACTGGTAAGGCTTCATGCAGTGGGTGTTTTCTAAGTGTGTACTGTACAATATGTCTTCACTGAGCTTGTTGCAGTTTAGCAATACATTTTCTTTCATTTGTAGGAAGTGAACAAAATCAATACTGTTTTCAGTGGAGAGGCAGTTTATCCCGATAAGACTCACTCAGCTATTGACAGAAGTGTTGGATGCTGTGTTTTACTTTTCAGTCACAGAGGATGTATGACTACAACTGTTAAGTCTGGAGCCAGGTGTTAGTAGGATAATCTATTTGCACAGTCTGGGAGCAGACCTGTTCTCATGCCAAACAACACAAACTGTTCCCAGCAGTACTTTCACGATACACTGTAGTTTACTGGGAGAGCAGACGCTCGACACAAACCAGAGGGGAAGGAAAGGAAGTGGTTACAAATATCTGCCTTTTATAGTAGAAACGCAAAGCCCATCATCAACAGAGACTGATTATATTATCTGTGAAAACCGACAGTCATCCAGGTAATCCTAAGAGCTGCACTAGAAAACGACTGGACTTCTCTTTTGGTTCTTGAAGACGTTTCATCTCTGATCCAAAGGGGAGAGCCTGATCCTCGAGATAAGACTCAGCAGTCCACCTGCATCTAAAAGATAAGGGACACTCTTTGAGGACAGCAATGTTCACATTTTGGACATAGAAGACAGATGGTTGGAGAGAGGAGTGAATGAAGCCATCTACACTGGAACAGCCATCTCTAAATAGAGCAAGGTGTACAACAGCACTTATCAGGTACTTACAATGCAGTCTTGAGATCTCTCCCCAGAATGTTTGATCACCTTAAACATCTTAAGTATCCTTCACCTGCCAGTTTTACAACTATGCATACTTTGAGTTGTGTGAGTCTTGAATCATTAATGGGCCATTAGCAGTGTTAGCTTGGGGTGACACTATATATCTAGGAGTCCCCATCGGTCAGTTAGAACTAAAAAAAACAACCTCCTGGATGAGAGTTGGAATGTAATTCAAGAACCAAAAAGACAGTTGCAGTTCCTTTCTACTGAAGCACTTGGGATTACTATGTTGAATTGATTATTATTCAGTCAACGCTGCATCAAAGAAAGACAAAGTAGGAGGTTTAATCTCTGCTCACTTGTTGGAAACTGTACAGTTAACATCTCTTATCGGCAGTGCCTCTGTGTGGTTTGTTAACAACGCTGAAATCTGATAAGAGCAAATTGTTTGGACTTATCTCAGAATCTCTCTGCTGGGATAAGTCAAAAGTTGAAAGGCAAACCCCAGCAGAGCCCAGTTTTATCATGGTTTATACAACTTCTTTCTCACAGTAAAACACATAAAAGCACATAATTACATACCTATAAACATTATTTTACACAGTTGTAAGAAAGTGTGACATGTGACCAACATACAATGCATTTTTTAAACCATGTGATAAAAGTGTCCACCCTCTTTAGCATCTTCTAAAGCGCAATGGTGCTTTTCCCCTTCTCCGCTGTAGTGAACTCATGAATTAAATGAGTTAATCTAATTTTATGTTGCCCTAAATCTCATGGGGAACAAGTTTCTCCCAGCGCACTGGAATAAGGTTGCATCACACAGATCAGGAACAGAGTTCTGTTACTTAATGTATGATCAGAATGATTATTCACACTTGGAAAGAAGTAAAGAAGAAGCAACATCAACTGTGTTATACAGCGTTTTAACAATACATTGTAGTACAGTCACATGTCCAGTAGGTGACACTGTTGTCCACATTTAGAACCTGAACGAGACAGCGTGACAATGTTTTAAAGCAGGACACACTCAAAATGCATAAGCAGTAAAATATTTACTTTGGTTTCTGATATTACCGCTTTAAATCTTTAGAAACATATAATAAGAGCATTTATACATTTATATATCTTAAAACTTCCAAGGTTTGCATGAGAATCTCCAGAGGTGTCAGCGTAGAAATAAGAAAAACTAAATTGAATCATAATGTGTAGAATTTAGAGATGAATATGATATCTCCTCACTTGGCGTACAATATTTAAGTCTATATGATGGAGTTAAAAAAAAAATAAAAAATACAAGTCTGTTGCTCTCTCTCAACAGATGTCAGCCTCGTCCTTGTATTTGTAGTGGCAGCTCCAACGTACCATGTTACACACTTTAGTTACCTCATCGCTTCGAACCAAACATCCTCCTTTAAATACCTCCTCCAATGAAAATCAAGTTCTTGACATTGTTAGCATGTCCATATGGTGTTTTTATCTACCGAAAGACACACTATGAGCAAAACAAGCAGAGAGCACGATGGCTGAGCATTTCCTCCTTGAAACTGCAGTGTGCTGATGACAGTCTCAAAAAAAAAAACAGATTCCAAGAATTCATACATAACAAACGTAAGGAGCCAATCCTGTCAACTTGCAGGGTTTTATTATTCAGACTCTGTTTCTGGTCCAATTTTGCAGCCTGTCACCATGTAACTGAGAATAGGTTTACAGTTTTTGAGCAGACCAACGATGTAGAGTTACATCTAAGGTAGGATGGGATTATTTTCATAGAAAAACAAACTTCCAAATACATAACTTTGATACGCAGAAATGAGTTTTTAGGGGTTAAACCAATGACTGGTGGGGGACTTTAGGGTTAGTAGCAGAGGCCAAAACCTGCTTGTGTATGAACCACATGTGTACATCGTTCAGTTCTACATTTTACCACATTCAGCTCGGAAATTCTTTGCATTTTGAAGTGTAATCACTTCACAGCTGCAAGCTCCATTGGTCTGTTGAGAAGCATGAGGCAGAAACAGTCTTCAGGATCTACGGTTCAGAGAGCAGGGCTGATGCACAGAGTAGGTTTCCTGCAGCTGACTCTTACTGTAGATGGGCTTGTACTGTACACATTCAAACAAAACCTCTGCGGCGCTCAACTCGCAGCGTTCTCGAATGTGAGCTTGAAATGTAGCAGCTAACCAGCAGCAGTGCCACGCTACAGGTCACCCCATCGACGTGCTCCCATATGTTCACCAGAGTGGGAAAATGTTGTGCCTTCTTAATAAAGGGTGACAGATGTGGGCCACATGAGGGGGAGGGGTCTGGTAGTGGAGCCACGGAGGACTGATAACCATGGCAGATAATAGCTGTGCTCCTTCACTTGGTTTTATTTCCTCAAGTGATTCCCTCCTGCTAACCTGCTCTCTGCTGTCTGCTCAGAAATTCCAATACAGCATGATAATCTGTACAACATGGCACACACAAAGGAGGGCTGTTTTACCGTCTGGAGGTCTGTCCCTGCAGGAGCAGTTGTAGCACCATGTGTCCTGATCAAAACACTGTAAGCTCAGATCATCCAACCAAAGACTTCTGTCTGTCCTTCAAACCAGGACTAAATGATGGTGACATAATGTCCTCTGTTATTTCTTCTGAAGGAACACGCCATTTGTTCTTTGTGCCAGTTTATCTGTGTGTGTGTGTGTGTGTTGCCATGAACACATGGTCTTAATTTCGTCATTCCTTGTCTGTTTCTCCTTGTGCTGTAAAGCCCTTTGGATCAACTGGGTTGTGTTAAAAGTGTACTGTTTGAGGTTCAGTGTTTAAGTTAGATAGAGTTAGTGGTTTTACAGTTTTAAGCCTCCATATGAATCCTGGAAATTAGCTTTAGGTCTAAATTTTCAGACACATATTTGTCACAGCTTTTCCACATGAAGTGCTCGCTATAGATGACTGTCAGGCTTTAGTTTCAACATTTTTTTTATTTCATACTGAATGTTCTTTTAATGAAACTTTCTCCTGGTGCACAGCGTCTGCCAGAGAGTCGCAATGTTCTGAATGGTCCCATGACATTAAAATATGCAGCAGATTTATTAATTTTTCTCCCTCTGGAGCAAGAAATGGGCTGTTAAAGGGACAGTCCTTATAATAGAATTAGTTGAGTTTTGGTCTTAAGGCTATTAAATACTCTTTTATTTAAATAATAATTGGAAATAAGCTGCAGCATGAATGCAAGATTAAATTGTACTGATACTCCTACACTGATTTAATCCAATAAATAACATACAGCACATATACGCTGAATTCTGTGGTTATAGTATTAAAGTTATTATATTTTTTTCCCCCCAATTTTTTTTGTAAATGAATCTGTAGCAGCACATTTTGTCTGTAGCCTGACTATATATTATTGCTTGCAGTTTCTTTTTTCATACACATCTCCGTTTTGATTATTTTATAATATTATGAATTATTGTAAAGTCAGCCTGCACAAATAGACACACAAAAACTCTCTACGAGACAAAAGACATGCTCTTAGGATATTTGATCTCGTCTCTCTCAGTGAAAATCGATCTGTGACTGATAGAGCCTACCCGAGGGCTTCTCTTTCCCATAATTTGTATTTTGCGACTGACTGCAGTTTCTGCGCTGCTGCTGCTCATACGCAATCCCTGGATAGGTGGTTGCCATGGATTCCTGGGTCACATGCGTGGGTTTCCTATAGCCAGAAGCAGCAGAAGATGCTTGGACCAAAAATCCAGAGCCATTTTCATTCAAGAAAAAGAGAGGATCCGCTGTGGATGACTTGCTGACTGGGTGGACTGACTACACCCGTCTGCTCATTTGAGGCTTTTTTTCCCTCCAGAACAAATCTCCTCTGTGTCCTTTCGGATTACTTCAAATTCGCAGCAAACCGGTTTTGTTCACATCCATAGACTGATAACAGGAATGAGTATAGAAATTCCTGAAGGACTGACGGAGCTGTTACAGAGCTTTACCGTGGAAGTGTTGAGGAATCAGCCCAGGGATTTGCTCGAGTTTGCGTTACAGTACTTCACCCAGCTGAAGGACAGCGAGACCAAAGAGGCCTCATTTGGCAATGACCAAAATTCGGCCCCAAGACCTGGAAAAGCGGTCAATTTCATTGACGAAGCCATGCAGATCGATTCGGAAAACGGAGAGGAGGAGGAGGACGACGATGACGAGGAATTCATAGGTGGGCTATTAGATGTGCTATATGCCAGGGAGATTCTGAGCGTGACTGTGGATGATTTTCATTAGTGTGTGATCGTAAGCGTGTATCGCTGTTGTGTGTCAGAGGATGAGGACCACGGTGGTCGCAGTGATGCTCCGCCGCTCGCCTCCCTGCATCCAGCAGCTCTGTCATTCTCCTTATATGGTCAGGGAGGCTGACTGATGCTCCATGTCCTGCTCTTCATCTCAACACACGCTTCTGTGATAAAGACTGCGTTAAAGGACAACAGCTGCAGAATCAAGACACTGTTTTCTGTTCATTTGTGTGCTCTATAAAATCCCTGCAGCTCTGGCTCATTTGAATATTTTCTGTTTCAGGTGCAGGCCCGATGGGCCTACCCTGATTAGCTCATGTAGCAGGAATATGACAAGGCAGATAAAGGGAGAAAGTTAAGGCTCTGCTGTGTGGTGCAAGCAATGCACAATGTGACTTTCAAAGCCCTTCATTTTTTAGTGTCTCCTAAAGTATTTAACACAATGGCCAGTGAAAGATTGCAATGAGATGCAGCAGCAGCAGCAGCAGCAGCATCCCAGAGCTGTGACACAGCATCCCAATGAGAAGTGGGGTCTGCAAGACTGGCTGCAATGGTTATATAAGGACAAGTACACCACAATCATTGCAAAACTAACTATTGTTGTGTTTTTTGGGTCATGGCCGTGCCCCATCACACCTCCACTGTCTTAGTGTTGTTTCAGTGAGCTCCGTCAGTCAGCAGTGGCTGGCAGGATATTAATGCATGAGACCTCCTTTCTAATGTATATTTTATACCGATCTATTGTGTAGGAGCTTGGCACTTTTAGCTGTTTTACATTTGAATTTTATTCTCATTTAAATTGGATTCAAAGACTCCGCTTCAAAGCAGCTGTCCTTATTCAGGTTCTACACAGATTAATATGGATCCTTAATGAGCACAGAGGAACCCACATGTAGCCTGCTGTAGATTTAGAAACACTGTGACCCTTTTACAGTAATAACTGAGCTTCTGTCAGACACGATTGAATGTATTTTTTATTTTTGCTTCGCAGCACCCGTGATAAACAGATTCATCAGAAGAGCATCAGGTGAGTTACCGTTTACCGCCTGCTAAAGTTGGCTGTTAAAAGCATTTCGTGTCCAAAGGAAATTTCTGGACAGTGTCAATACTAGAAACACAAAAAACCTCTTTGATACATGAACACTGAGGCTGCGTCACATTTGCTCCAGCACAAGTGATACTAAAGTATTTTTCCATCTGTCTTTCATTACTGTCTTCTCTGTATTATAACAGTGTTGATTTATTAGAGCTGTGAAAGAGCGTTGTCATGAGTCTGGTTAATAAAGTCGGTGAGTGATGCAGGTGGGAAGATAGATCAGGACAAGTAGTGTTGCCGATAATCATCTCTCACTTATAATAATAATAAGGTTGTAGCTTTACAAGAATACATTTGCTGTATTAGAACAGCTGGCTGCATGTTTGTCTGAATTTAAAACATAAAATCTTTCAATAAAACTTTCCTACTTGTTCTCATCTTAGATAGAAAGTAAGCATCTCCTACACTAGATACTGCAGCTCTGAAAAATACATATTAAAAAAAAGTGTCCTTGTATATGAAATAAAAAACAGATTTAATAAAGTTATTGTAAAAATGTCTTACTATAACCACATCTGGCTGTTAAACTATAGAAAGGAAATGTGGTGCGAGTGTCCCCTCAAGTCCCCTTTCTTAAGATGAGAGAAGTTGTTTTGTATTTGAAAGATTTATTTCATGAATGCTGCTGAATAATTCTTGTAATTTGTTTGTGTGTGTGTGTTTAACTGAGATAAAGGTCTGTGCTATGGGCTACCTACATATGAACATTTATTTTTCAGTGTGTATGTTGTTTATTACACACATAGTAGCCAGGTGCATGAGAGGTATAAACCTGTGCACCAACTCTGATAAAGCACACATTTCATAGACCTTCCGCAGTAATAAGTCCTTCAGTATGAACAGCATCTTATACTTACACAGATGTAACCACCAATCACACACCTTTGACATTTACACTGTCACTCACTAATAAAATGCATTCACAAAATTAGACAAGCAAGATATTCAAACATCCAAAGAATACAATGGAGGAGGAAAACAGTAGAGAGACACAATAATTGATATAAATCAAGTTTAAATGTCATTCATTTGTTGATGCCTGTCTTGCAGTGTGTGCTGAAGCATTTAATCCTGATGAAGATGATGAGGATAAAGAGCCAAGGGTAAACTGTGTCCCCTCTCACAATTCTCTAGTTTTAATGTTCAGTTGAATTTTTCAAACATTCAAGATTGTAGCTCTGAATATGAATAAAATATTCACCAGTGTGACATCTTCTGTGTGAGAGACTGTGCCACTTCATAGGAGTGTGTTTTATCTGGCAGGTCACCTACCCAAAAACCGATGAGCAGAGACAGAGACTACAGGAAGCATGCAGGGACATTCTTCTGTTCAAGAATTTGGATCCAGTGAGTGAATTATTCCACAAGCACTCTGTGCTCCCCTGGTTTGTGCCCTGCCATCTCTTCAATTACACAAAGGAGAACATGGCCTACAGCCAGCAGCTTTTTTGTCTGCATGCTCAGTGTGCTATGCATGATTTGTAGAGATTTTTTTTAGTCGCTGAAACAGAACATGGTGGTTTTTGCATGATTGTTTCAGACGTTTGACTGATGTTTGTTTTTTTTGTTTTCTTTTTTTTACCCTCACAGGAAGAGATGTCTCAGGTGCTGGATGCCATGTTTGAGAAGTTCTGCACAGAGGGGGGGCACATCATTGATCAAGATGATGATGGGGACAACTTCTATGTTATCGAAAGGTGGTCTTTTATGTCACTTTTACATCATTTCTAGCTCCTATTTTTTAAAATCATGTCTTGCACTGTCACAATGAAACTTGGTAAAATCGTCTGACTCTTCGGATGTAGATCATGGGTATAAGCTCGCTCCACTCCTTTTGCTATTTTTGTGTTAGCTTTGTCAAAATCCCATTTGCTACGGGAAACAACAACATTAACAACTTCAGGCAGCTACGTAGATGCTGGAAATTTCAAGCTTTGATGAAGGTTTGGATGGTTGTTGAGCACCACTGCTTGTTTTTTGTGTTTTTTATTTTTCTCTAGTGAATTAACCATTTTAAGGACAGTGCTGGCCTCCCTGTATGCAAATGTTCTGCCAAAACAATTCCTCCCAGATTATTTTGCAGTCACACTGTTGCTGCATTCGTCACTTAGCTCTGCCCAAATGACTGTGATTGGTTTCACGAAATACAAAAGGTTTTTCCCTTATAGCAGAATGATAATAAGGTGCAGCTGGAACATTCGGTGCTGCAGAATAGTCTGGCAATGCGAAATTGTTTGTAAAGTAAACCCTAGAATAAAGGTTTTCCTGCTGACTAAAGATTCTTGAAGACAGCAATATATGGTTATGCTTTAATCTATTTTCCTGATTGTTTTGTTTTTTTTCTCTATTGTATTTTAATTCAGTGGGACGTTTAACATTTTTGTGAAGATTGATGGCACGGAGAAGCTGGTAGGCTGCTATGACAACAAGGGCAGCTTTGGAGAACTGGCGTTGATGTACAACACCCCCAGGGCGGCCACAATAATCGCCACCTCGCCTGGAGCCCTTTGGTGCCTAGTGAGTAAACCATCACATCCTCCTGTAGAAGCACAGTTGGCTCCTTACTCAGGTTTTTCCACCATGCTGTGCTTCCAGTTGTCGTGATTTAAATAAACACACAGGTTCTCTGTGGCATAGTGAGATCACAATATCCAAGGGAGACAGCATGTAAAACATAGTGGATGCAGCAAAAACTGAGAGGGCACTCATGATTTCACATGTTCATCAATGCTTGTGTTTGAATGTTAATAATGTATGAGGTTTTGTGGCTCAGCACAAACAAACAAACTCGTCTGTTTTAGCAAAATGTGAAAAAAAATGCTGACACCATCGCGGAGCAGACACAAGTCAAGGTGAAAACATTTGATGGCTCTGACATTTTTAAAGTAGCTTTCCAGTTGAATGACATTTTGTTGTAACAGCACCGAACTGTTTCATAATTTGTAGACAGGATGGCTGCTGTGAATATTCAGCTGCTACTCGATTTGTTTCTGTGAAGCAGCTTGTTAGTTAATGACTCAGAGAAGGGTCGTGTCCTTAAAATGCGGGTACCGGCGTTGTTGTGTTATCTCTGGTGCAGACGGGGCAGGTTGCTGCTGTATCCCCTGTTGACCTGAACGCTTGTAGTGTGTGTTTAAGCGTGCGGACAAGCGGGAAGCCCTGTTCAACCAACAATCAGCTGAGGTTGAGGAGGGACTGTGCTTCCAAAGGGCCTCTGAGCAAACAGTCAACCGTAGTGGGGCTTTATGCATGTAATTAAATGGGTAAACAATTAAACTTATGACAGCCTGGTTGGATATTAAACCTGCAACAGACTGAGAACTGAGCCTGACTTCACCTCCCACTTTACTGAGAGATTAGAGCCTTGTTTGCTTGTTTTGGTAAGGAGAAAAGACTTGCAAGCTAGAGGGCGCCATAGGCAGCTTCACATGTTCCCATCAGTATGTAACAGTGCGCTGCATGCTGTCATCTTACATTTTCTACGTCCATTATTTGTGCTTTTTTTCCTCCAAAATTCTACACAACTGAAAGATTTCTAAAGGTTTGTCTCTGAAAGCGGCAGGACGACACTTGGCTGCCGTTATTCTGCTCAATAAAATCCGGCTAACAGTGACCCCTGCTGCAAAATGTTGTTTCATACGAGTTATTGTTGAGTGAAAAGGTGCTGGAACAGTCAGGAACTGTAAGGAAAACCTAAAAATCCTGATGATGCCAGATTTTCTGGGTGTTTTTGCTTTCTCTGTGATGTTTGTCATTATTTCTCCGTTGTGATGGTTCAAGATGTGCCATCAGATATAACATTTTACAGAAGGAGAAAAGAGTTTTGATATAAAAGATACTCAAAGTGTTTCTTCTTGACATATATGCGTATACATATAACAACTCAGGGTTACAAAGTGTTGCGTCTTTAAACAGGATTATAAAACCTTTTTTCTTTTACTGTGATCTGTGTATCAGGATCGTCTGACATTCAGGAGGATCATAGTGAAGAACAATGCCAAGAAGAGGAAGATGTATGAGGCATTCATCGAAACACTACCACTGCTTACATCTTTAGAGGTTAACATTTCCTTTATTGTCCAGCATTCAAAAAAGTGCACGATGCATTTACAGCAAAACAGTTATCAACCAAATGTCTTTTTATCGACAGCTGTCAGAGAGAATGAAGGTAGTAGATGTGCTATCCACCAGGGTGTACAGTGACTCACAGCAGATTATTGCTCAGGTGATTAGTCTCTTTGCACGATCAGTTCTTTGCTTGTTTTTTTTTTTTTTTAAGTTGTCTCCTCCACATCTACAAACATTTGCTTTTGCTCATTTACAACCACCTCGTCGCTTTTGTATTACAGGGTGATTTAGCAGATTGCTTCTACATTGTCGAGTCCGGCCAAGTTAGAATCACCATGAAAAGAAGCCGGGTATGTTTGCAAAATTATCCTTTACATTTCCCCTATGATACCAAAACACTGTGGTGCTTTCTAGTATTCTATAATGTGCATTTGTTTTTGGCCAGACAAAAAAAGACCAGGAGGAAGAGGAGGTGGATATTGCTACATGCTCAAGGGGCCAGTATTTTGGGGAGTTGGCTCTTGTCACAAACAAACCCAGAGCTGCATCTGCCTACGCTGTGGGAAGCGTCAAATGCTTGGGTACATTTTGTGCAGTTTTATGTTCAATCATACTTTTCCTCGTATACCAATTATTATTCTGCTTAAATAATGTCCGCCTCTGCTTTCTTTTGTCAGTCATGGACGTTAAAGCCTTCGAGAGATTGCTAGGCCCGTGCATGGACATCATGAAGAGAAACATTGCTAACTACGAGGAGCAGCTGGTGACCCTGTTTGGAAGTAGCCCTGAGATTGAGCAACAAAGTGCATGAGGTGATTTCAATGGACCATGAAAAAGTGGATGGGAAAAAAAAAGGGTTGTATGGATGTTTTTTTCCCCCCATAATCACTTAAACAGCTTTTCTTACAAGAAATGTGAATATCCACTACACTACAACATTTGAGTGTCCGATATTTAAAACAGACTAGGTCAGATTCCCATGTGAGGTGAGGTTCGTTTTGATAGTTTGCCACAAAACGCTAAGACTGAAGTAAGCCAAAGCGGAGTTGCTTAAAGCTTGTTTAAATGACATTTCTCACAACTCTCACCTTAAAAAAATGTAAGTGTGCATTTTACTTGTCAGTGTCAGGTGCATTATTTGTTTGTAAATTGAACACTTTTGTTAACTTTCACCTTTTCTCCTCAGTGTTATAGCTATGCCTACAGAAGGATCTTGTTTGTAAATTTCTAAACATAATTTGTTCAAATCAGATGCCAAAGCTAATTTCTTACTGGATAATTGTGAGCGATTACGTCACACTCTCTTGTGCGTTGGTGCAAGAGCCCCGACCTGAGAAAGGATCAAGAATTTTTAAACGAACAACATCTTTCTCATTTTGATTACAACAGAATGTAGACTTGGCAGTACCTTAAGATTTTTACAAAAATACACTTCTGTTTATCGTGAGATTGAATCCCTTGAATACATGCTCATAAACTGTATATCATTGTTGGTAAGTGTTTGTGGCTGTTAGCCTAATACTATGCTTTTACAACAAAGCAGACTTCAGAGAGATAGCTGATAGTTTTGTAAGAATATACAACACATTGCTGTACAATTTTAAAGTTGAGTATTTACTGTTATGATATAGGCCCACTTTTAACTTAATAAGTTGCCCCACTAGATTGTAGTCATTATATGCGATGTCTGGAGACAGTTGATTTCTCTGTGTTTTAATGTAAAATTTAGGTCATACCGTTTTCGTGTAGGTGAAACATACATTATTATGACATTCATTATTGCTGTCTACCTCTGCCAACAACATATACTGTTTCCGTTCAACAGAAATCTAAAGTGGGTCCTCTCTCTCTTCTTCTTCTTCTTCTCTCTCTTTTTAAATTAACAATTGAAGTCTTCTGTATTTGTCTGCAGCTTAATTTTAAATTTAAAACTGGGTTTAAACATGCTGGTTTTATTTCCCCCCCTCCTCGTAGTACTGGTAATTTTTGAAGGCAAAACCACAATACTGGCTAAAAGTACTGTATGTTTCACTTTTCATGTCAATAAAGAACATTTTATATCTCTGTGTCATGTAATTTTTTTTCGTACATTGAAGTAAAGACACACTTTCAAAGCTTTCCATTCAGTTTTCGGTCACTCATTCACCATTCATTCATTCATTACCCAAAGAATCATTCATTCTTTGTTTTACTTGATCTTGTAGTTAGAAAGTTAAAGCAAATATTTCACAGGGAGGAAGGGAGGGAAAATAAGGTAGAAAAACTGTGTGTACAAGTAGTTCTTGCTGTAGTTGCAACATTGCAGATAAAAAAATAATCATGTATTGTTGCTGTTATTGCCAATCAGCTGTTACTGGGTAGTAACAGGCATATACTTTCAGCCAATGACAGGATGATAAACAAAGTTGCCCCCGCCTCCCTTATTTTTCTCAACCGTATTGGCCAATAGACGATCAGGATTCAGGTTGTTGACGTACTCATCCACCAATGGGAGGCTTCCTCTGCAAACATTCATTCCCACCCCTCGAGTGAATGCCACAGAGTTTCTCGATGGCGACAGGACTGGTAAGTGGGAAGTTGACTACTTTTTTAGAAAAAACAAACGATTCAAACTATTTTTTAACCCAATCGTTGTGTGATCCGCGTCTTTGCAATTCCAGCGTGGTGTTTTAGCGAGGTTGTCACGCGTTAATTTGACGTCGACTTGGCAGGTTGAGCTCGACAATGTTTTTTTCCTCGCTGTGACGCTCGTTGTTTTGGTGATAACAAACCCACCCGACAGCTGCTTCGTGTATTAAAACAAGTCGTCAAATCGGTAAAAAGCTTCTTTCGTTAACGCGAAGGCGTCGTTGAAAGGCTTCCAGAGGTTTTCGTGTCATTCATTTTGAACGGGGCAGAGAGGTTGCGTCATGCCTCAACTTGTTGACATTCTTTTGTTTACAGTGTTAGACCCGACAGCCTCTGGGTCTGAGCGGACGGTGCTGCTGCTGCTGTAGAGGACCGGGGACACACTAGGCCTGTACTTCAAACCGTCTTTTTGCACGAAATATTACTTTTAAATGCGTTTTATTACCGATACGTCGCTGTTGTATCCGCGTTTGAACTCGAAGCCACGGTTTGTCTGGACGCGCAGCTACAACCGCGGATCGGTTGTCAGAACAAAAATGACCGTTAGTTTTTTTTTTTCCTTCTTGTAATCTGATTCATTTGTTTTTCGCAGCTTGTTTTACGTTTTGTAACTATTTTTCTTCTATTGCATGTCGCCAAAGACTATATTAAAAACCAATAAGCATAAAGTATTCAACGCTGTCATTGATATTCTTCCACATTTTCCTCCCAAACTTCGTGTTTTCAGGCTTTCATTGGCCACTTTTTAAGACGAAATTCTTCTATTTGTCACTTTTGCTGCGCAGTTATGAATGAATGAGCTCTGGTACGCATGCGCCAAACCCTTTTAAGTTTATAAACAAGGCCTCCACGCAGCGAGTCACATGACTAGTCACAGAGGTTTACTGTGTCGGTTCAGAGACAAAGGATTCCCTAAAGGCCGCCTGCATTTTCCATTATATTGATGCTTTACATAAAATTCAATGACTGTATATTGTTTGGAGTATTTTATTTGCAGTGGTCAGAAATCTAAAGTGTATTTTTTTTCATTGATCCTTTTGCATTGTCCTAATAATACACATTAATTAAAAGAAAAGAAAAGAAAAATCCACAGACCATTATGCTACCTATGTATATACTTAAAAAGACGTCATTATTATCAATCAGAAGTGGTTGCTGTATAATTCTAATTGAAAAAATGACAATATAAATAGAACTCAGCAGCAGTTTCACTTTATGAAAGCTCTGATTTTGACTTTTGGTTTTGCCTAAACCAGCAGATGTGTCAGAGTTTGCTGATGGAAGCTGAGTAAGCTGAACTGCAGCCTGTTTGGAGGGGAAAAAAACAGAGGAAACAGAAGAGCATTGTGAGAATGGACGAGTCGTTTGATCCGCTCAAGTGTAACGAGGACCTGCCTTCCTCACCTGGGTGCCACATGGATTATGGTAAGATTAGCAAGAATTAGCAGCCTGCAATTGGGCAAACTGAGATTTTCATATGTTTAATATGAGTATTACTGCAATCTCTCCCCAGATGACATGCCGGAGCTGCAGGAGGTGGAGGAGGACCAGAGGTCTCCGGGGTTATTTCAGGTCGGAGCTGTGTCTCACCAGGAGCTCAGCTGCTCCCCAAGCACCAATTGGCTTGCTGAACTGGCCAACATTGCCACCAGTCCTCAGAGCCCTCTGGTGAAGGACGCCCCTCACAAGAGGTTTGTACAAATCCATAGTGACTCGACAATCAGCTGAGTCTAATAAATGCGACAGAAATGCAAAGACAAATTGACACACGTAAAAACAGAAGCACACACCAGTACACCTAGGGGTATTTGACAAAGCAGGATTGGCAAGTTAGAAACACAACTTAGAAAGTGTGTTGTGAAATATTCCCTGAAATTGTGTCAGTTTAGCAGTTTAAAAAAATGAACAGCTTGTGTTTACAGAATTTTGACCAGGAATTTGCAAAATCAGTTTCTCTGTTATCCTGGCCTTTATTTATTTATTTTTTTATGGGATTACATTAAAGTGTGTATATTTTAAAATATCCATTTCAAAATATATTGTATCACTAATGTGTATGTGTTCATGATAACATTCTGTTCATGTCTGATAAATGCATCACTCCTGCAACTGTATTTAATATATACGTAACAAAGGAAACTACTCATTTATAACATTGTCATTATTTTCAGATCATCTCCAGTTCACATCTTTGGCAACAGTAATAGTTTACATTCCTACGCCCGGCCCCCGTTAGCCAGTAGCGCGCCCAACCCGTCCAGAGGCCACCTCAGGGAGCGCAGGCGTGTCAGGGTAACCTTTCACTTGCAACCTCAGCCTCTGAAAACCTAAGAATCATCCATTCCTGTAGGCCTAGTCATTATATCCTGTTAAATTCTGTATAACATGCTGTGTTTTTTGCGGATGTCATTGTACGATTTGTTTTATTGTTTCTACAACAGGCCAGCAGTGAATCTGAATCTGGGGTGTTCTCAATGTCCTCATCGTTTTCTGATGATGAAGACATGGCCTGGTCTCACTCCTGGCCCTCCACAGCCTGGCATTGCTTCCTAAAAGGTGCATACATGCACACTCCTGTACATAAGCATCCACCAGTGTGCGCACGCACACACACACACACACACACGCATGCACACAGTCATGTTGAAGTTAATGGCGACATATCTTGAAAAACGGTCTTTAAATGTATCCCTTGTAGCATGAAGCCGCACAGTCTAGTGTAACCATTTACTCCTCAATATTAAACATTTCAGGTCATTCAGTAATGTTTTCTTAAATGTTTTACTTCCGTGATGTTTCAGCAAAAATGCAAACTTCACAAATTCTTTTCAAATATATCACTTGAGAAACGCACAATTTTCTTACTATTTGTGTTTTACCAACTACAATGAACATTTACAAAGCACTTCTCACCTCTGGTGTCCAAACAGCAGTATTGCATCTGTTTTCTAGCTTTATCTTAGCAGTATCAACACGTCTGCTTATTTATCCTGTTACATTGTTTTGTTGACATTCAGGAACTCGCCTGCGCTTCCATCGAGGTCCTAATGTGGAGTGGCAGGAAGCCGATGAACTTAGGGATTCAGACGATGACTCAGATGATGAAACCATGATGCCGTCCTCATCCTCCCTCAAAGTAAGCCGACCAATAGTGACCTGAGCATGTTCTAAAATAATTTTTAA